CCATCCATCCATCCATCCATCCATCCATCCATCCATCCATCCATCCATCCATCCATCCATCCATCCATCCATCCATCCATCCATCCATCCATCCATCCATCCATCCATCCATCCATCCATTCATTAAGAACATTTCTATACCACTTTTCTTTTACAAATAGTGCAGTTCATACACAGTGTTATCAATTAAATATCAGAACAACACCTAGGTTAGTACTGGTAACATTCAGTTGGTGGTGCAACCATTCAAGCCTGGGAGCCTGCCTAATGGCAGTGAGGAGACTGGGTATCACTGCAGAGGCCATAATTTGTTCCACCATCAAATTTTCTAAGGATGGTTAGTACTCCAACTATTCCCATCTGTCTTTCTGGTCAGTTCCCAACTGTCTTTCTGATTTGGTTTGTGATTCAGTTCGTGCAACCCATTTTGCTAAAACAAAATGAAGCATCAAACTTTTCCCCACTCAACACTTCATTCTGCTTTGGCCTGCCTGCCCCCTTACCACTGCCCTCATTGCCTTCCTACCTGGTCCTACTGCCTCCTTCTTTTCCTCTTCCTCCTCCGCCACCATCTTCAGATATATTGGCTTCCTGACAGGTGTGTGAATGTTCAGAGACAGCAGGCCTGGTGGTAAATGTAGGCGGCAGGATCAAGTAGAGAGGCAACGGGGCAGTGGGAAGGAGGCGGGCAGATGTGAGAGGGTGTGGAGGTGTTAGGTTCCCTTCCCCCAGGCAAAATCCAGAAAAATGACCAACAAACTGATGAATTTTTCTGGGGATTCAGGTGGTGTTTGTGGGTAGTCACAAACCATGAAACATCATGAACCACCAGCTTTCCAGTTCATGCCCATTTCTAATAGAGACAGAAACATGAAGAGAAACCAACTGCAAATATCTGTATTTCTCTCTAACACCAGCTGTTTGTCCTATTTCCTATTGCTTGCTCTTGCAGTAAAGACTTAGCAATGAGCTTTCAATTTGTGTTTTCACTGGTTTTAAATTGTGCTTTTAACTTAGTTCTGTTTAGTTGGTATTGTGTTTGATTGTATTCTTCCTTTATTTAATAAATGACATGCTCTGAATTCATCTTTTTGAGAAAGCTAGAATAAAAATATGAAAACCAAATAAATGAATACACACATTTACGCTCACAGAGGCACATTTACTCATTAACATCCTGCCATTCAGCTTATACATACAGTCATGTGAAAAAGGAAGTACACCCTCTTTTAATTCTATAGTCGTATGTATCAGGACTAGAGGTGGGGGTATTCATATTCGTATACGAATACCTCCACACAGCTGGACTTAACAAGGGTCCGCCCCTGGGGCCAGACCGTTCACTCACACGACTGGCAGCAGCAGCAGCCTTGGTCAGCCTTCCAATCGCTCCCAGACTGCCAGTCTCTTTGTGCTCATCTAACCACTCGGCAGCCATGCAGGGAGACTCATCCTCCCTCCCCCTGCCTGGAGTTGGCTAGATGAGCAGAAAGAGAGCTGCGTTCTGGGAGCGATTGGAAGGCTGACCGAGGCTGCCACCGGTGCCAGACACATGAGTGGACAGTCCGGCTCCAGGGGCAGACTCTCATTAAGTACAGCTGTGCAGGGGTATTTGTATTCATATACGAATACCCCCATCTCTAATCAGGACATAATAAAAATAATCTGGTCCAAGGTCCTCTCTAAGATGCACAGCTACATGAGCAAGCACCCCTCTCCCTGCTTCCGCGCAGCATTCTTTCTCCTCCATGCACCCACACCAATCATTTCCAGCCCCTTTGATTCTGGTTGTGATGGAACCCCATGTGGGGGACAGAGTTATATGCATGAGGGGCATGGAGTCACATGCGCGAGGGGCAGAGCTCCACCCAGCGGGACTGAAAATTAGAGGGAATGTCGATCTGGTCCTCAGCAGGTCTGAAAATTAGGTAAATACAATCTCAGATGAACAACAACACATGACATATTACACTATGTCATTATTTATTTTACAAAAAGTGAATAACAATAATTCACTGGTTCAAATCCTATTGTTTAGCATAATCATTTGAATTAAAGTAGGCCCAATGAATCAGTGGGAACTTGGTGAATCCATTCATCTTTAAGTTCCAGTGATTCAAATTGGCCTACTCTAGTTGCAACATACTATGCTAAAGAAAGCTGTTACTAGACTACACTACAAGGAGTTGACTCAACAAACCCTGCTGATGCAATAGATGTACTGTACTTTAATGCAACTTACTAAACAATGGCCAATGGCTGTCACTTAAAGCTGAAAATAGCCAATTCTACACCAGGAGGGTGTAGAGTAATAAGATGCATCTTGATTTATGTTGACCAGAGCTAATATCTGTCTTCTCTCATGCTCTGCCAAGGAAAATGCACCATACATGGGACCTTCCTATTCATTTTACTAAGGCAAGATATTGCACTGGGATATGTCAACAAGTCTATAAATAACCTTCTAGAAATATCAGAAATTGTGTTAATATAGTGCTCGTTCTCAACCCACACTGCTTAATTCCAAATCTTTAGTTTTGATATGTTCTCATTAAATGGGTAACAATTATTTTGACAGATATATATAAGCACACCTACATTTTCCTGATTCTTTTCTCTTCATTTCTCTAGGTGTGTAATTCCATTCCTTTGGAACAGTCTTCAGCAAACTTTCAGGAACAATTTGCTTGTGCTGATAGGTTCCATAGTTCTCTGTTGCTTCCCATGAGTGCATCAAAGAAATAATCTGCTTCACTATACCCTTAACTGAATTAATCAAGGTGAGTTTCAAGCATCTGACAACCTCTGGCTCTGATTCACCACAGCTAGAAACTATGGAGACAAAACAATCATAATCATGAAATATTAAACATCAAAACTGATCAATTTCGGCACTCTAAAGAATTAGAATTTTTCATAGTTTTCTGTAGTTTTTCAGCACTCTCTTTCTTGTTATCCCTCTCCCACTGGAATTTGGATACCATAATGGCTACATTGATATTGGATCCACATCACTGAAGTCTATCCTATATTATAAGGCTCTTTTCAGCATTGGAGGCCCATAACAGTAAGAACTTCAAATAATGTTCATTTCTATATTACATAACTATGTAATTAAATATTGACCCAAAACCTGTGGTTACGCTGGTATAACACAGGTGGCATAACGTTTGGCAACGAATTGCCCAAAGTTAAGAAATCAGTGTATATGATGTCAGTTGCATACTGAGCTGCGTGACTCGGTGTGCAATTGATGATGTCCATGATGATTTCTAATTTGAAGCAGTTTGGCTCCAAACGTTCCACCATTTATAGCTACACAAGAGGATTCTGGCTATTGTATTTATATAAATTATTTTTCTCAGCATCTATTCAAACATTTGTTCAGTGAAAAGTTTTTAATTACCCAACTCCAACATGTTTTTCTTTTTTGTGCCTTCAAAATACCTGATGAAGCTTTGATTTGCATTGAAGACTGGATTATGTAATGAATGGCATTTTAAAATAAAGATGTATATTGGATCACGTGATCATCATAACCAGGGGTCTCAAACATGCGGCCCGGGGGACATTTGCGGCCCACCGGATGATAGTTTGTGGCCTCTGCCTTGCCTGCCCCACGTGTCCTCTGCTGTCAAGAGTCAAAAAAAGCCTCGCTCACTGGCTGTCTCCCAAGAGAGCGCCTCTTGCACCCTCCATCCAGAAGTGCAGCCTGCCAGCCAGCCCAACTGAGTGTGCCTCAGAGGAAGGTTGCTGGACCTCTTTGTGTGTGTGTGTGTGTGTGCGCGCATGCATGCACATGTCTGCGTGTGCGCTTTGCGGAAAATCTGATGCGGCCCAGCCTCACCCAGACTCTGCCTCCAGCAACCCCCAGGTAAACTGAGTTTGAGACCCCTGATCATAACCATCATAATAATTTTCTTGCCATATTAGGCAAGAAATTTGCAGAAAGAAAAAAGTGTAGAAGACACATAACGGGGTGGGGCATAATTGGTTCAGTCCATTTCATCTGAAAAGACCTTTGACCAAAAGTTATGAGAAGGTTGGATGGAAATAAGGGAGGTGTCAGATGTCTCTCTTTCTCCTGCTGCACATGTACAGTAGAAGAACACAGGAAAACATGGGTATGTGATGCCACACTGGAATTTCTCTGATGTCAAATCCTGCATTTGTAAGAGTGGAATACTAAAACTATTTTTGGCACTACAGAACGCTGCTATCTGAGGGGTGAACTACACATACTGTGAATGCATCGTGCTTCCCCTGAGCACACAATTTTACTTTCATAATTAAAAAGCATAGCAGGAGGCAATTTGCATTGGGACCCTGTCATGGATAGCAAGAGGTTTTAACCCATTTAACCTCACTCAATTCCCAATTCAGATTAGAGGCCCTATATTCACTTTATACAATGAGGTGCAGACTCCCTTTGCTTCTGGGGGAATTCAAGAAGAAGCCCACCCTCATGTCTGCATCCTGGTCCAGCCTCCTCCAGAAGTTGTTTATTAAAGAAATATTCAGCAATTATCAGCAAATTACACAAATAATATCATATGTAATTTCACTTGAAAGGAACTTCACATTCAAAATATCGGAGGACAGCACATACAAAATCACATAAAACTATGAAGAGATTCTTAAGAGTTCTAAGAAATTTTGTAGTATTGCAGTAACTCTCGAAAAAAGAAATTAGTGCTATTGTCACCTCTCCCCCACCCCCAATGAACACTGCTAATGCCCTAATACCACATTTTGGGCAGAATCCTATAATATTTTCATGCTCGCATATGTCCTGTTCCCAAGCTGGGGTTAGCCTATTAGGAAACAAAGGTTCATTAGAGTGCAAGGCAAACTAGGTGCAAGAGATCAGAAGCCAGAGTCCAAGTCAAACCAGTTCAAAAATAATGAAAGCAAAAAGAAGAGTCCAAATATATAGAACTGCCTCAACCACACCATGAGCTCACCTGTAGGCATTTGTTCAGCTGGGAAGACAATTCATTTCTAGAATTTGGCCTGCTTCCTCTCCCCAGGAGGAAGCCTCTTCCCTAAAGAAGACCCCCAAACAAAAACAGTACCAAGGAAGTCCCTTCTCCTGAGGAGACTTTTCCTGCAGCAAAGCACTTCATCTTGCAGGTTCTCTCTGGGCTCATGACTTTAGCCTGCTATTTTTGAATGGGCTGGGAAGAAGTCCAGTCCCTTCTGACTTCAGCTCCAATGTGGCTCACAACTGGGGTTTGGGGGGGTATCTATCGCCATCTGAAGATTTAGCCTCCTCAATATCTGTGGGTGCAAGGTCTGCTGGATCCGAGAGTTCAAACCCATGTTGGGTTTTAGACTCTGTCCCATTCTCAATGGATAATGCATTTGATGAAGGGATGACATCATAACACAATGGTATAACTCTTGGTTGTGAATTGCTGCAAGTTTTGAAGTCAGCACAAGGATTTGCTGTTGTGTGCCAAGTTGCGTGACTTGGCACACAACAACAGATACCTGCACTTCTTGTTTGTTCTGTGCTATCAGGCTGGAACTGACTTATAGCAACCCTAACAGGGCTTTCAAGGTAAATGAGATATTTAAGGAGTGGTTTTACCAGTTTCACTTGCCCAGTGATTGTCCATGGCAAATGGGGATTTGAACCCTGTTCTCCAGAGTCCTTGTCTGTCACTCTATCCACTACATCACACTGGGAATCTCTTAACTCATGGCAATTCACTGTTGAAATTGATGCCGACTACATGGGTAGGTGTAGCTAACAGGATGCTGGACATTTATATTAATTCTTGCAGCTTCTTCATCAGAGATAAAATGAATGACAGAATGTTTATGAGTGCAACTAAAACACCAATGTTGAATGCTGCTTTCATGATTATAATGGTATATTAAAGATATAGTATACAACATTATTAATTTATTACTTTGTAGTTTGGCATTAGAAGACTTCTGATATTACATTGTTTGTAAATTTTTGCAATGTAATTCCTATATCAATAAATCAAGAAAACCTGATATTTCAGAAATGAAATAATTTCACTACATTTTTCATACCTGATATATTGTGGAAGCAATCCCACAGCTGTTCTTTTTCCATATAATTCTGAAGAACATTACCAAGTGATTTGGGAGATAAATTACAATAAGACAACACTGTAAAGATTGCTTCAGCTAAACTAGGTTCTTTTCTGTTCTTCACGTCTAGGCAAATATTTTGTTCTTGACCTTTGGACAATTCAGGTTCTTGAAGAAAGGAAGGAAGAAAGATCTCAGTGTCAAAGTAAAAGAACATAGTAGAATTAAACTATATGCAAATACAGATTTATTTTTAACCAAACACAGACGTATCTCCTTGTCTGTTCTGCAATAAAAACACTATTCCAACTTTGTATCAAATTTACATTCAGGTGAAATCAGGTGCCTGCTAGGGATGAATGAGACATTATTAACAAATTTTACTAGTCTCACTTAGACCTTTTTTTCGCTAATCACAAAACTCCTTAGGTTCTTCATATGAGGAGAACTTTGCACTTTTACTCTGAATTTTGCTTGAGGTGAAATTTCAGAAACAAACTGACTGGGGAGCCACCTTGGCTCCTGTTACAAGGCCAAGGGACAGACTGGAGTGAAAATCTCCTCCCTCTGGTCCAAGTGCCAGGGCCTGAAGTTTGAATTTGCAGCTGGCCACATTCTCACATCAGCCCCTGCAACCACCCCATGGCATTGGTGCTACCTCTATTCTTGGGGCCACCTCGGCCACCGCTCTGCCAGCAACAAGGAAGCCCGGTAAGGGGGGGTCATTATCAAGTCATTATCCACAATCAAACTAACACATTCAAGCTGAAGCAGCCTCAGTAGAAATTGGAACGTAATTTTACTACAGAATTTGCCATATAAAAATGTATGATATAATGCATACAATACTTCTTTTAATATACATCTAGCAAAAAATGTGACAGCCCTGGATATTCTAGATGTATTTCAACAGTTATATTATTACAAATGTAGATAGCATCAATACTTACTTGAACTTCTCAATAAAATTTTCAGTAGGAGACAATTATGATGTAGCAACGTTTCCAAAAGCAAGTTCCAATTACAAAATGGTTGGGATAAGAGGAGTTTCAGTTGACCCTGAGCTGCCATTTCTCTGGCTGATGGGGTCCTTTCAAAATGTAAGATAAAGTCAGAATAATATAGTTAATTTATCTATGAAATTAATAGCCTTAAAGTGCACATGTAATACTAACTCCTTTAAATGTCAATTCCTCCCAGATTACTGTGAAAATGTTTTCATGGTTGCTTACTTTAAAGCTGCTCAGGGAAGGAATTATATTTAATCTCAACTAGCTAAAAGCAAATTAACGTTTGGTAGACTGCCAAATTTATAACTAATACAAAGTAACCCCATTTATCTCTTTCAGTGGGACGATGTATACTCTTGTTTCATGAGACAAACATTATTTTTAATGCCCAAATAAATGTGAGGAATTATATTTCAGTTGTGTTATATTTAATCATTAAGAATGAAGTTATAAAAATATTTGAAATCTCATCTATGAAGCAAAGTCATACTATAATTAATACATAATTATTAAAAACTTTTTCAGTCATATAAAAATGTTGCATACTAAGAACGTCTACATTGTAAGATGTGTCTATTCCTGCAAAGGATTAGTGCTAAAAAGCTACCAAAAACCTGTGTTCACATGTTGTATCGTATAAAACCGACCAGTATGTCTGAAGTATTAGATTATAAAGAATCCTACCTTGTGAAAAATATTCACAAATGTACTATTGTCACCTGATGTTTTGCAATTCATATTGGGCTGCAGCACATTTCTCAAAGTTGCCCTCACTTCACCCCAATAAACTAACATGATCTTAGGCAGTTCCGGTCTCCTTCAATGAGATTTTCGTTTGAAATAAATCCCAATAGATTTTGCCCATGCTCAAGTTCTTTTTGCACACAAAGAAAAAGAAAAATGGCAGCTTGACTAGATTTTCAGAATTCCTTTCGTCTCAGTTTAGTGCTCTCATTTATTTGATTAGAAGTATATACACTTCAACCATTATTTGTGATATTAGGCTTATCTTCCAGTCAGACATGGAACACCTATGCTCTGTTGCAGATACACATAGAGTATATGGGTTATTGATTAGAACACCCAGTCATCTGTTCCATTTCCCAATATACGGTATAAACATTTTTACATCTGTATTTATTTGGGCATTCAGGAAATGAATACCTCTTTTTACCATGCTGTTTTCTACCTGGATACAGGGTATCTTAATGGAATGTTAGTGCTATTTAATTTAGAATTAGTATTTCCTTTCAGTCTCTATATGTACATGAAGCAATGTTCTTGAACAGCTTGCTATTCCAAAAATAATATTTAAAATAACATATAGATCAGCTGATAGGAGTTTCAGGTTACGGAAAAAGCTCAACAATCGCTGACCAGATGGAATGTTACTGCCTTTCAGAATTTACTGATTCTTGGCTTTTAAAGCATCATGCAAATTGAAAGGTACAGTGATGTGATTCACTCAAAGGGAAAATTGAGTACTGCAGACATTCCCTGCAGCCACTGTGCTAACACTAGTAAATGCACTGAGAAGTTTTATATTGGACATATGGAGAGGCATATGTTCCCTCCTCCTCAAAGCTCATGTAGCTGTGAACACAAGGCTACCCACATGAAGAGGCAAAAGGTGAATTCTATATAAAATATGGCACATGTAAATGCTTGATTCTGTAATGAGACATTAGTTTGGAACTACCTCCATGGAACTACTACAAATGGGGGCCAGCTCACAGAAATCCATATAAAGGAACATATATTTCTTTATACCAGCAAGGTGTGGACCACTCAACTGCACTGGGAATCGGAGAAGATGTCTGGCAAGGCAATAGTAGTGCTAAGGCTATAATCAGAAATTTAGCTCTTTCTCTAACATACACAACTACTCACCAGATCTGAGGATCCAGTGTCACTGTCTTAACATGAATATGTGTTGAAGTCAATTATTGTTTAAATGAAATTACTTACTGCCTTGAAATACAGCATAACATTTTACTTTCAGATATTTTACAGGAGGTTTAACACAGTAGTTACAGGGAAGTATCCACATTATGTAAGCTGATGATTATATAGGCTGGCTTTTCTAGCCTCTCCTCACTGTAACCCCCTGATTTCCTAGAGCCTCTTTCTGAGTTTTTGGAGTCTTTGGGAAAAGCTCAGGAAGTGAGCTTGTACAGTCAATGGTTCTCCAAAGCACTGAGACCAGTGGAAACTAGGGCCTAGCCTAAATGGAAGAAAGCGTTTACTGCTTACAAATTGTGTTTAAACTATTATGAGTGATAGAGTATATCTGAAGAAAAGTTATCATTCTGGTATACACTTTATTTTAGTATTTAAGTTGTAGTTATTTTTAAGAAACCATATTTCCCATATTGTTCTTATGTCAAAGCAGATGTGTTGCTGTCTAATTAGTCTGACTTTATGAGTTTGAACATATTATACCCTGATGTTGACTTTATGTGATTTTAGTGTTTATAACTGAATCTAAATTGATAGTAAATGTTATTTGTTTTACATTCAGTTGCCCTGCAGAAGAGTCATCTGACTGAAAATGTATCAGACCTGAATAAATTATTTCTAATGCATTCTGGGGTTCCCCTTCTCACTTAAAAAAAGTATTAAGGTCTTGTGTGGTGGGATAAGTAAACTACATAATCAAAGCCACTCAGATTTAATGTGGAAGAAAGTGAACATTTTATTCTCCTCCTGCTGAAGAATAATTATAAAAACTACAGCATTTTAATACAAATATTACAGATTATCAGGGTGGATGAGGTGGGTGGGGACTAGACACAAAATAGTGCTGGGAATAAATTGGCTTCAAAAAGTAGGTGTGGGAGGGCGTGTGGTCCAAAGTTATAAAAGAAATGACAGTTAAGCTGATAGCATATGTCTCATATGTAAATTTCCATTACACTTACTGAAACAGCAAGGAAATTGTGTGTTTGCTTCTAAAAATACCAAACTCGAGCAAAGCAGCAAGTGTAAAGTTTAGATTTTGTAGAGCTATGTAGCCTTTCCAATGCCCGAAGTTACAACTTTTTAGAGATAACATATATTTTTCTGAACAATAGAAAGGAAAGAATAATACTTGAATTATATTATTGCTAAGAACTTCATACTTTATGGACACAAGATAGCATGTCTACAGTCAAGTATCGCTACTACTGTGTTTCCCTGAAAATAAGACAGGGTCTTATATTGATTTTTGCTCCAAAAATTCATTAAGAATTATTTTCAGGGGATTTCAATCTACACTTACTCAAATACAGTCATGTCATCTTCTTCTGGTTGCTGCACAATACTGCACAATGGTGGAGGGCAGGGTTTTACTTAACTGGGGCTTATTTTTGGAGGTAGGGCTTATATTACGAGCATCCTGAAAAATCACACAAGGGATTATTTTCAGGTTAGATGTTATTTTCGGGGAAACAGGGTACTATTAAATACCAACAAAGAACTACCCAATCTTGGGCATTGTCCAATGTCAAGCCAAAGACAGTTTGGAATTATTTAGGAAATGGTGCAAATACAATATGCTTATATTTTTATCCTGGATAAGAGGACTGGGGATTTTGTGGCCATAGAATCTCTTCATCTGATCCAAATTCCTACTATCAGTCTTACAAATGGTTAATAAAATTTGCACACAAAATGGAAGTCCTAATTTCTAATCCTCATTTATTTTAACTGCATTTACCGTTGTTTCTTCAATATAGAGTTGTACAGAAGAGAATTCAAAATTTAAGGGAAGACTGGGATGAGGAAATATTACCCATTCTGGATTCCTTCACGATGAAGATAACCCAGTTGTCCACTTTGACAAATAAGTAAATTGAACAGCCTCCAAATTGCATCATGGCAAAGCAACCATCAACCACATATGAAACGAAGATTAAGAATGCAGGGAGTTACATTTTTTAATTTTTTATTATTTTCTTCTTTACAACGATAGGGCAGGGTAGGGGATAACTGGGAGAAGGATACATTTAGAAGGGGTGGATTTCAACAAACACAATATAAATCATTATTTTCATAATAATTCTAAATAATCCCTTCTAAGAGTAGTTCCAGATAATATACAAGAATATATACAATATATAAGGAAAATTCAAATTCAGACCTATATTTTGTAATTCTAATTATTAATTATATAACTGTTAATATTCATCTAGTATTTAAAAGTAACTATTCCTATACTATGATTGCATATCAGCCTACCATTCTAACTATTTTTTGATCATATATATATATAGTGACCACAAAATTTCCCAATGTTCCTTTTTCTGCTTTTTTTATTCAGCTAGTCTGTTAACATATTAATTTCTTCAGTTGCCAGTATTCTTACTATCAGTTCCTGTATTTGCAGTGTTCAAGACTCCACCCAGTGTTTCATGGATACTATTCTTGCCACTGTTATTCCTTCCGTTTTTTATATATTGCTATTCTTGCATTATTTGTAATATTTTATTCCTATATGTATTTTCATTCTAGATTTCCAGTACCTTCCGAATTCTTGAGATGTGTGGAGCATTTGCCATCTGGATTCGGATCATTAATATCTCGTATTGGTTTTGTCGAATTTCCATCTTTCTTAAATCTTCCTGAAATTCTGTCACTTTCTTCTTCTCCATTTTCTTTGCTGTTTTCGCTGTCCTCTATAATTCTTGATTTTGTTTTTTACCTCCTCATTCATTTGGCTCAATTGTGGTTTTATGTCCTCCTGTTTCTTAATGAAGTCTGATACTTTAATTTCCAAGGATGAGATATCAGACTTGATCTCATCAAACTTCTTGTCCAAATGAGCTATCTGCTGACTAAACATAATGCTCATAAACTTCTCAAAGCTTTCTTTTATTAGTAGAGAAAACTGGGTTTCCTACATCAGTCTTAAAAGGTGTGGTTTCTAATGCTAGACTTCCTTTCTCCACCCTGGGTTTTACAGTCATTTATATATATATAAAAAAAAGAAAACTGTATGAGGATGCTTTAACAATGTTTGCTTGTTTGTTTAATTTATATGCCACCCAAACTACCCAAAGGTCTCTGCAAAATCAAGCAGACTTTCTATGGTAGATTTGCACTTGAATGAGTTGTTCACTGGTAGAACCTCTGTGTGATGTCTATGTTTATACACTGAATTTATAAGAATATTCTGAAATAAGTACTGTGTCTTAAATGGAACAGCTACCAAGCTTCCTCTCTCTCAAGCATTTTGAAAATAAACTACAGTTTTATTTGTGCATTAGTTTACACTTATATCCATGTCAGAGGATAAGTTGTTTTAAGGGAAATTTGATCAGATTAAATGTTAGCAGATCTGGCTGCTACACTGCCAATGTTATAAATTATAATTAATGATTACTTAATAAATACATGGAGTGTGTACTGATTTGATCACTCCTACTCTCAATCATGATACCAACTCCATCTCTTCAGTGGGAGCATATCACACTCACTAATTAGGCTAAGAAGGGCTGGGGAAGGGAAGAGGGCAGTTTACTGGTAGAGACCAGCTGGTGGTGTTTTCTATGCTTCTGCAGGTTTTCAGAAGACCAATGTTATGGCTCAGTCAGAAGCTCGCATTGATCACAGTGGGCATCTCCATGACTGGGCAGACCATACCTGGCCTATTAAAGGGGGGGCGGGATCTTAAGATGTACTGCATGGCCCAATCGCTTATACTTTTGCCATCTTCCCTACCCACACTCCTTACTTTTATTTTACGCTACTTGCTACAAACAACTATTGGCTGGCAGGAGATGCAGGCAGGAAAGAAATTTACTGATCAAACTGATTGGCTTTGTTGGGTATGGTTTTTACCATCTTCATACCAATCAGTTTCTTTTATGTAAAGTTACTGGGGATCTGGTTTCACATGCCACTGTTACAAAATAGGTGTTATATGTCATACACTTGTGGGGAGCATGAGACCAAAGTGCAGAATCCATTCTGGTGCTGAGCAGGTGTCAGTCACCACCTCTATTGGCTGGGTCCTGGGTGAGAGGATAACAGGCAACAGGGGCTGGCTCACCTACCTTTCACCCAGAGAACTAGTTGAGTTCATGTGAGTGGTGCATGGTCCAGTGGATTTACTGAACCTGGCAGCCAGTATAGGGCTTAGGAATGGTTAATTGGTAGACTGGATCTTTGTCTCATGATGTGCCAAATTGTGTGAACCTGTGAACAGCGGTGGCTATTTTTATTTCTAACTGGACTCTTGTGTCATATTTTGTCTTTTTCTTTCTCTCAGTCAGTGTTGCAAGTGTGATAAATGTGCATGTGGGATTCCAGTAATAGACATTTCTTCAAACTAGTTCTATATGAAATATCTATTAGTTTTTCACAAGCAAAAACATCAATATGGAACACTGGAATAATTTATATGTTAATTTCTTATCAAAATAATGAAACAAGTATACTCACTTCAGTAAAGATGGGGAAAATTCTACTATGCCAGTTAACCAGTGTAATGGTTGATACACAGTAGACTCTGAAAAATCTGATGGCAAGGTATCACTGGAGTTATTCTGAAATGTTCTAAAAATATAAATAGTTCAGAAGATGAAATTGTATGTATCTTCAACAAAGCCAATTATTAGAAGAGAATTAACTGGCTTCGCAATAAATAGCTACTTATATAATTGAAAAGCATTTAAGCTCTCACAAGGGAGGTATTTTACTTCAGTTCAATGCCACTGCACCCTTATCAACCACATTACATATTATTACAAACCATTTTCCAGCCATTGTTTTGAAAGATTGCTTGGGTTACTTAATTTTGTTCTTCTTGAATCTACTTGTAAATTACTCCAAGTTATATGATTAAGAACAAGGGAGAAAAATGTGTTCCTAGCTAATTTCTCCACATCAAGTATGAACAGGAACATGGAAATATGAGCTCTATGGCTGAAACCACTGAAAATGCTAGTCAGGCCTATGCAGCCTAGCAGGCACCAGATGTGAAGAAACCCTGTCACATCAAAACCAGAAGACCCACTGCAAGAATTCCAGCCCTTATAGCCACTATTGTGAGAATGTTTTCCGTGCTCTCAAGGAGCAATTGCAGACCCCAAAAAGTCAGCCTTTGGAGAGGTTCTTTGGTGGACTCAGGAGGCTGCTACAGGAAGCAGGGATGGCAAAGTTATTTCTGCATAGATAATTTTGCCAGTGCTTCACTGGAAACAAGCCATGCAGCTTAATTTTCCTGCTGCATTCATTGGTGCATATCCATAATTATTAGGAAATGCTCCTTATGTATAAGAAATGCAATAGCAGCTGCCTCTTGTCACAGAGCTGGGGGAAAGCATCTGTGAGAGTATCTGATTGATACCGAGGAAAATTTCATGTGTTATTCTTCTGCAGTGTATGACAAGGTGAGAACTGCTCTTGTAAATCTCAGTGCCGGTGTGAAATGATGGGGTGCCCGAATTATAAATCCTACTACTGTTGCCTTGTAGAACTGAGCATTGGAAATTACCTTAAATTTACTCTAACATCAAGTGGCATGAATTTGTACTATTTGAAGGCAAGTTTCTATTTTTTTTAAAAATGCAACAATTAGCAGAAAAATGCAAAAAATATGAGACAATGAGAAAGCAAAATGTTGAGTCAACAACACAAGCAGGAACAATCTGCTGCATGTATGAAAATCTCTGTGAAAAGATGAAGAATTACTGGAAACATATATTGCACACCATTACTATGCTGGCATGTGTACACTTTTTGCCGTGTTCACCAATGTTATGCTAGTTTGGCTTGATCTATTGAAAACCAAGTGAAACCAATATGCTTTATTTGTAAAAAGCCTGGCAACAAATAACACTTTTTAAAAAAGGAAATTTTAAAAATTCCTTTGGTAATTGACAGAAACCTACATTTAAAAGATCAGTCATTTCTATTAGCATTTCAATAAAAAATGGAAAGTTTTTATTTATTAATGGAATACAACATTTACTTGATTGGTAATAAAACTGAACAAATAAAGGGTTTCCTAGCAAAACTGATGGCAAACTTTCCACTCATTTGAACGGCTGCAGATTGCAGTCATGACCATTTCTCGACAGTCAAAATGGATTTTCATGAATGGGTGAAGTTGATCCCATTAATGTCCTGGCTGATCCCAACTGCAGGTAATACAACTATAACACCTACTGCCTTCTGGAGTCAGAAATCTCAGGAAAAGAAAATGCAAAGATTGTTTTCTGTATGGGGTAACAAGAGCAAACCTAGGGAATATGAATTATTGCTTCAAGGGGAAACAGTAATGGGAATAAAGACTCATACACCAGGAAACTGAGATTATTGATTTGTTTAACAACATAGCTGGTGGTGAAGGCTTCTGGGAATTGCAGTCCAAGAACACCTGGGTTATCCAAGGTTGAGAACCACTGGTTTAATTTATTTATTTATTTATTTATTTGATTTTTATCCTGCCTATCTGGACCAACGGTCCACTCTAGGCGGCTTCCAATAAAATCAGAAAGTAAAAACAATAGCAAGTACATAATAATACAAATAAAATAAAGATAGAAAAGTAAAGTAAGATCAAGAATTGGCTGGAGGGAAGGCCTGGATAAACAACCATGTTTTTAATTGGGTTTTAAAGATGGCCAGTGTGGGGGCCGCGTGACTCTCTGGAGGGAGATTGTTCCAGAGGCGAGGAGCCACCGCCGAGAAGGCCTGGTTTCGTGTCTTCTCCTTCCGGGCCTCTCTGTGTCAGGCTCCTCAGCCTCACCTCCTGGCTCGCGCGGGTGATCTGGGTAGACCTTGGTGGAAGCAGGCGTTCCGCCAAATATCAAGGTCCTAAGCCATTTAGGGCCTTATAAGTAAGCATTAAAACTTTGAAGTTGACGTGAAAACAGATGGGCAGCTGGTGCAGTGCGGCCAGCATTGGAGAGATATGTTGGAATTTTCTCACTCCGGTGAGGAGTCTGGCTGCCGCATTCTGCACCACCTGAAGTCTCCACATCATCCTCAAAGGCAGCCCCATGTAGAGCGTGTTACAGTGGTTTAACAGATCAGATGATATTATAGAACCTGCGGAGCAGTAAAAGAAATAGGAAACAAGGAAGAGAACATCTTCCCTTGTTTCCTTTCTTTCCTAACCTTTATCCCACAATCTTACATATACATACATGTGCATGCCCATTTTACTTGCTCTCTCATGATTTGATAACTCAATATTTGATAACCCAGTATTTGTAGAAGTCTAATCTGAATGGAGGAATACTAGCATGGTGTGGTTGTAATTTGGTAGAACAGATGTACCATTTCAGATGCAAGATAGGGAATTACAGTTTTAAATGCTGCCTAAGTAAAAAGAGAAAGAAAAAAACTGCAGTACTTTAAAGACTAAGAAATGTATTTGAGCATGAGCTTTTGTGGCTCAAAACTGACTTCTCCAGACATAGGAATGCAAACACATCTCCTGCACAAAATATGGATGTCTCCTTTTTAAAAAATCTTCATAAAAGGTTCCCAGTAAGTGGAAAACAGTGAAGTATGGCTGAGTTTGGGGTAGGATTTTTCCCCTTCCTATGATAGGAGTTCTATTTTTTAATAATTATTAGAGTCTTTGAAATAGACAGTGATTGTTTTCCCACAGGGACGAGGGTGTGGAAGGAAAGTGATCCGGCCTGATCAAACCTACAACCAACCCCTGAAAGAAGGGGACTGGACTTGACAGCCATGCTGCGGCACAATATGAGCATCTTTGCGGAATTCTACAGATCTGGAGTGATTTGGTCCAGCCCCCCAGTGAATTACTCCAATCTACAAGAAAAGCGTTCATTCCCGAGTTATGGACTTTTACCAGAGTTGTCTTGTTCTGACCCAACTGAAGTTTTGATTGATTGATTGATTGATTGATTGATTGATTAATTGATTGGATTTTTACCCCGCCCCCCTAGACAATGTGTACTCGGGGCGGCTTACGTGGATAAAAATGCAACAATATGACATATATAAAAATAGTCAAAAATACAGTTATAGCAATTAATTCTATTTTATTCTCACTTTTGCAGGGAGGCTTTGCTTTGTTTTTAAATTCAGAAAATATTAGAAATGCCAGCGTGCGCCCCCTGCCGCATTCTGAAGTACAGTCCAACTGGTGGATCTAGATGAATTCTAAAAGGGCTGTTGGTTGGTGGAAGGGGTTGGAACTTCCGGAAATAGAAGTAGAAGCATTATTTGTTGCTATTTCTCTTTCCCCCACAGCCCCTTTGGCCAGTACACAACCTGACAGTCTTCCAGGCACACTTCAATATCCAGAAACCCTAGCCACTAAAACAAATACTCAATTAACCTTGGAGTTAAAAGTCCCACTCACCTGGAGGACAAAAAGTTGAGACCTACTGTTCTGTGCCTCTCATATACCGATGTCAAAAACCCCTTGGTCTCATCACTTGGCTATTTAGCTATTGGTCTCTCTGAATAACCACAGGAATAAACGTGTTTTCTTTAATAATCTTAATTAATTTCCTCTCTTCCTCTTTCACTATCACCAACCTTTAGCTGCCCCCAAGTGTGTATCTGCCCCTTCACTCAGGCCGCTATAACACCTTCCACATATCCAACCCTCTACACTACTCAGCTTGAATTAATTATCTCATGAACTTTGAAGAGAAGTAGTCTGAGCCAGGTGTGGGCAATACAGTTTTACAGTGGTTCCACTCATATCTGGATGACTATTTGCAGACAGTCATGCTGGGGGATTTTTGCTGTACCTCAGGGCATTTCCATCCTGTTCCCATGTAATTTAAAATCTACATTAAACTGCTGACTAAGGTCATCAAGAGATTTTGAGTGCAGTGCTATCAGTACACTCATGACATGCAGCAGTTATTTCTTTACTATTTGACTCAGATGAACTCTGATGGACAAGGTGAAAAGTACTATGAATGCATGGTTTGTCTGTCTGTCTGGATAGTATTCAACCAGTTCTGAAAAGGGCTTCAATATTTTTTATTAGTTTAGACTGGTACACTACCCACACAGCTAATGGATTATGACATTTAGCTTCAGGGATCTGTTGTTCTGGTAACCACCCATATAAATTACTGCAATGTGTAAACAGAAATTGAACTACTGGGATGTTAATTACTTGAAACTGTGGCTGTAGCTGGGGTGTTCAGCCATCTGCTAGGTAGAAGTTTGGCTGTCATAGAATGGCTAACAATTGCTAATATTTTTTCATCTGTGGAAAATACTGTAGGTTTTTCAAATGCATTCTAGACATCAGCAACATGATCAGTACCTGAATATTGACACAAACTATGCAAATTAATTGTTTGAACTTCTAGTGGTGGTTACTGAAAAACATTTAGTGTATAGTAAATTTGTTTAGAGTTTTGCAAAACATGAGTACCCCAAACTTTGCCACAGCTTGAAGCACAGTTAGAAATATTTCCACATAGTTACAACATCTTTGATATTGCAGTTTCCATTTATAATCCATCCAAAATTGACCAGAAAATGCAATCTATTGTATTCACTTTTGGAGTTGAATTAATAAGATTCAAACTATATGATTCAGTACATTATTAAAAGCAAAACTCCATTATGAGATAAAGGATATTTGTTTATCCTAGAACAAGGATTCTTCAGCAACTCATGTTGCAAATCAGCTTGGAGTTTTTTTTTTGTCATCAAGAAGTTAATTTGCACTCCTGAATAGAGATGGGGGTATTCATATTCATATATGAATTTGAATACCCCCGCACAAGTGAACATAACAAGGGCCCACTCACTCTTTCGCTGTTGCTGCAGTCTCTGCACTCCCTTCCTATTGCTCCAGAGCTTGCAGTCAACTAGCCACTCTTCACTGTGTCAGGGAGGCTCATTGTCCAGCCTCGTGTCAGGAGTGGCTAGTCGACCGCGAGCTCCGGAGTGACAGGAAGAGAGCCTGGAGCCCGCAGCAGCAGAAGAGTGAGTGGACAGTTTGGCCCTTGTTATGTCCACCTGTGCGGGGGTATTCGTATTAGTATGGCAGGCTTGAACAAATTCCTCTTGGAGGGACAACATTTTAACACGTTCTAATTGTGAAATTAGAATCTCACATAGTTTGATCCTAATTAAGTCTCTCCTTTTTTTAGACTTTAGATGATGAATTATACTGGCCCACTGAATTCAGGTGAGTTGTTTCACTACAATTCTACCTATCAGCTGACAGCAGTAATACTTCTCTACTCAAATCTATCATTGACTTATATTCTGATTAATCCTACTGCTGGGGAGTCTTAATCAATGTGCCATATATTGATACAAATGAAGAGTTAGTTCTAAAATTCCAAATCAAACAGAGAAACAGTATCCCAACTTTAAGAAACCATTCAGATTAACTACATTCTATATATATGATCTAATTTAAAATAACTGTTCTCAGTTAAATAAATTTTTTACTAGCTTTCAGAGGTGAACTACTTCCCAACATGGAATAGACTTAGCTAATATATTCTTACAGTGTTCTATGCATCACAGATATCATTTTGTCATATATTAAAGATATACAATCTGTTAAAACGAAGTTCCTGTCTGCAACAGGAGTAAAGTAATTCTGTATCTTGAAGAAAACATAGTTCTGAGCCAGGTATGCCACTTTCCTGATGCAGTTTACTGATTACAAAGAAGGTTTCATGTCTCTAAGGAAGCAAAGATGGCTATCACTGGCTCTTGTTTACAGAATGTAAAATGTACTGTCTGTACAACTGTTGCTTGATCAATAGCAAGTTTGTTGAGACTTTTCTTGGCTACAATTTGTAAACCACAACCACCCCTGATTTAAGTTTAGAAATAGATCTGCTCAAAGGAACAGCTATGTAATTGGACTCTGTAACTGGTTATGTTTGATGAGAGAATAACAGTACTGCATGCTTTGTAACACTAGGTATCTGTGTAATGGTAACTTTTGGGATTTAAAGAAATTCTCTCCTTTCCCACTAGTCTATTGCTAAAATTATTTTTCCTACCTCTGCCTTGCCCCTTCCTCTCTTCTTACTTTGTTCACTTTGCTTCCTTTTGTTTTCTTAGTCTCTCTCCACTCCTGATCTCCGACCATGCAGCCAGCATGGAGGGTCTGTTTCCCACATGGTTGAGATTGATCTCTCCTCATTTTTTCTTTTTATCCCTCTGACTATAACTACGTATAGACTGCAACTGTAAGTAAATATTTTCTTTTCTACTTTAAATGCTTCTAAAGTTATTTTTATACCAACAAAATGCCAGTCACTGTGAGAGAGAGGTGATGTTGAAACTGGGCTGGTCTCTCCATGTTTCTAACTAAAAGAAAATTAAACAAATTCTCCAAGAATGTACATGGATGCATAGATTAAATTTTTTCTTCCTTCAACATTATATTAAAGAAATTAAAAGAGAATTACAGTCACTTTTTGCTAATATATTATAAGTAGAGATGGGGACAAATATAAAAATGGATCGACTTTTTCGATGAAAATAGCTGATAAATATTTGTCTCTTCATATTCAAGGGTTCCAGAGACCCCCACGAATACAAAGGAATGAATATTTACCCGTTTTTATTCATCCTCCGTCCTGGATTAGGCTGCCCTTTGCAAAGATGGCAGCTGCAGCCTCCCTCCCCTAAATGAAGCCCCAGACGCCATCTTTGCAAAGGGCAGCCTGTCTCCCTTTTTACATGCTGTGGCTGGGAGGCCAGAAGGAGACCTTGGCAGCGGTGATTAAGGTAAGGGGGTGTCAGTGGGGGCGGGAGAGAGCTAAGGAAGGGAGTGGGGGTAGGCGGTAGGCCGTGGTGTTGGGTAGCTGTGAAGGGGCGGCTGCCTGTCTGCCACTGATCAGCTAATCAGCAGCCGGTAGGCAAAATGGTGTTTTGTTTTGTTTGTTTTAATAGCAAGGAGATGTCAGCGGGGCTGGGGTGGTGGTGTGTGTTTTATTTTTAAATAACCCCCTCCCCACAAATCGACAAATAACTTCGTTATTCATCACTTCATGGGGGCAACTTCGTCAACTTTTGACAACTCACGAAGCGAGACAACTCGCCAAAATGGTGAGTCGTCCCCATCTCTAATTATAAGGATGATTTCACCTACATTTGACTTTACCCTAAATACAATCTTTCTTCTGCTCATAATCCCAGAGCAACCTTGATTTTTTTAGGCCAATACTTTTTCAAAACTATCCTTTTCTTGGATATTTGACCTAGGATCCTTTCCCTCTCAAGATCTGAGTAGATCGGAGGCCCTTCTAATGCAGACACTCAATGAGAAGTAAAAGGTTGACTCAATTGCTTCTTGAGGTTTCATGACCACCACCACATCCTTTAGTGTATAGGAGACTGATTACAAGTTTACTGGATTTAGTGCAGGAATAGAAAAATCAACTACGAGTTCTTACACAAAGTAGATTTCAGTACAGTGGTGCCTCGCATAACGTTTTTAATTGGTTCAAAAAAAAATGTTATGCGAAACATCGTTATGCGAAACACCATTTCCCATAGAGATGCATTGGAAACCGGTTAATCCGTTCCAATAGGCACGGATTGCCGTCCTTAAGCGAAAAAACCCATAGGAAACATCGTTAAACGATACAATGTATCCTCCATTGGAATGTATTGTAGCTGACTCAATATGTTTCAATGGCTTTGCGAAGTCAATTTTTGCAAAATTAAGTGTGTCATAAAAGGGTCAAAAATTGTTTTAAATGCTTGGATTAGCTTCTGCACCCTCTAAAACGGATGCAAAAGTTAATTTGGCTTTGATCTGACTTTTCGTTAATTAATGGTGAATTTTTTTCCCCCAACTTTTGACAGCTGTCAAAATCTGACAGCTCCATTATTTCCTATGGGGGAAGAAAAAATTCACAAAAAATTAATGAAGACTCAGCAACTGTTCTAAATTCTTGGGTTCGTTAGAGGACCCCCTAAGTTGTGTGCAAACCTGATTTGGCGTTGATCTGAACTTTCGTTAATTTTTTGTAAATTGTTTTCTCCCCCATAGGAAAGCATGGAGCTGTCAGATTTTGACAGGTCCATTGGTTCCTATGGGCCAAAAAACAAAAATTCACAAAAAATTAACGAAAAGTTAGATCAACGCCAAATTAAGTATGCACACATTTTAGAAGGTGCACTAATGATTCCAAGCATTTAAAACTGTTTTTCAACATGTTAAGACACTTTTGTAATTGAAAAAATGAACATCGTTAAGTGAAGCAGGGGACCTAAAACAAAAAACGTTAAGCGAAGCATGGTCCCAAAAACGCTATGCGAAAATCGCCCATAGGGAAAAACGTTATACGAAGCACAATCTGACTCTGAAAAAATAAACGTTAAGCGAAAAAAACGTTAAACGAAGCAAACGTTATGCGAGGCACCACTGTATTCAGATTTTTATGCATTATTATGTAAGGAGACCTAGTTGTCATTTAGACAATTATTACCCCTAGTATAGGACAAGTAGATATTTACTTTCAAATATCACATCATACTTACTTGCACAGATTCTCTAGCGGTGTTGTTAAAATGACACCTGCTGCTAGTAAATTATTGCAATGTCTGTGTATTTTACAAATATGAGGATTTCTGTCTTCATGCGGTCGCAGAAGTTCTTGCACAGAGCTACAAATTGACCACAGCATTTTCTCACAGCTCATAAGAATTGCTGTAACATCTATCCTGTAAGATATAAAGCAAGCTGACTGAAGGCAATCCATTGTAATACAACCAATATCATGAAATCAGTGGCTACAGTGCACTAAGCAATGTGAAAATGATCACAAGATCAGAAGAGCATCCAGAGAGCTAAGGTTTCCCTACTTATTTTAAGCAGTGAAAATAAGTTGCATATATGTATATATTGTTCTGCATATGTAGATCAGCTTCATGTACAGAACTTCGTTTGTATAAAGACTTTTTTTTCTACATTAGGATGTAAATATTTCATATCTAATTCTGAATACTCTCATACAAAATACTGTAATTTCAACATTTTCTTTGCTCCATATACAAAAAAAGCTACCTTATACTGCATCAGACCAGTGGTCTATTCAGCTCAGCAATGTCGACACTGACTGACAGCAACTTTAAAGGTTTCAAACAGAATTCTTTCCTAACAGTGTCTAGAGATATCTATGATTAAACCTGTGGCCCACAATCCACCGGCATCAATGGCAAAACTTCAATTTTTACTAACAGATCAAGACTGCTATCCAGACATTGCACATATCTGCTTATTGGCTTTTCAAGCAGTGACATTTAAACATTTTTTTAAAAGACAGAATCAATGCAGAACAGCAAAAATAAAATAATAATACGCTCTAAATTTTATGATTTTATATATTTTTATACTGTTTTGTTTTATTTTGTAAGCCGCCCCGAGTAGACATGGTCTAGAGGGGCGGGGTAAAAATCAAATAAATAAATAAATAAAATAAATAAATAAAACTAAAATATTATACAATACTTTTATTGCGATATTGCCACCTCTATGGCAAACTATTTACGTAAATACTGAAATAAATATATGCTCAGAACAATGAAGTACAAATCCTATGTGCAGTATAGATAGGAATTACACACAAATATTTCCAAGAACACAATGCATTTGCAGTTATATTACATATTATAAAACATGACATTTTGAAGGGAGAATTATATCATAGCTGTTTTCTGATCTTTGCTAATTGTTTTTATGTCTCTTTGCTGCATTTCCTGGTTACAGCCAACTATGGGAAAGACAGAAAACTGAAATTCAGAAGGGGTCATAGCCCCTGAATGCAGGAGTCACAAAACTAATTTTTGAACATTTGTGAAGATTGGAAAGAAATATATCTACATGTATATAGAACAAAAACACGAACTGCCACATGTAAGAAAAGTAATGTAATCTCATCAGATATCCCTTCATTTGCTGGAATATTTAATGAAGGAAAACTTATTTTCACAAAACATGGTAAACAGGCCAAGAAAAGGGAAAGATATAGCATATGATAAAATATGGTGAGCACCAATTTCTTGAGAAATCTGATCTGGCCATGGTGACACATACTCTAGTTACATCTTGGTTGGTTTACTGTAACATGCTCCATGTGGGGCTGCCTTTAGAAAGTGTTCAGAAACTCCAGAGGGTCCAAAACGTCATAGTCAGATTGTTAACTGGAGTTAGCTTCAGGGAACATATAACTCAATAGCTCCCCTGGTTTCTGATCCATTTCCAGGTACAATTCGAGGTGTTGGCTTTAACTTACAAAGCCCTAAACGGCTTGGAGCCAAGATATCTAAAAGACCGTATGTCCCTCTAGGAACCTGTCCAGGCATTAAGATCATAAAGGGAGGCCTTTCTCTCCATTCCACCACCCTCACAGGGTGGGGTAAAAATATTTAAAAAAAAAACAAATCAGTTAAACGATATAGCTAAGACTATGGGCCATTATTTCTGAAAGATCCTTCCTTTTAACACTAAAGAACAAAATCTGTTCATAAACCTGCCAGGCTTCTATGTGATGGTTCAGTGGCTGGAAGTTTTCACTTTTATTTTAGAACAAGCACAGATTGTTGTTATATTTAAAACTGGAAACACTGTGATTCCCTTTAATCATGGTTTGTTGAAATAAACTAACTCTAAATCATTGTTTAGGAAGATGCCTGTTTTTAAAAACTACGGTAAATACGAACCACAGTTCACTATTCAGAAGACACACTAAATGGGCTGATCTAAAATGGAGAGAGGAATTTCCAATCTCTTTGTTTTGTCTGTGTGAAAGAACAAGACTTTTATTCCCTGTCCTCATACACATAACCATTAAATCATGGCTCAAAATAAAAGATCAAAAATAAAAAAAGGATTTATGATCTGGCTATTGTTCTTTAAACAAAATGTTTAAAATATTTATTTCAACATACTTTTGATTGTACTTTCTATTGCTGCTTTTACATTGTTTATATAATAATTACTCATTAGACTTCAGTTTTCTTAGCCTATATTCTTTCTGACTTGTTCATGCAGTTTTATTTTACCATTATTGTATTGCTTTGCACTGATGTCATGCTGAATGCTCGATGAAGAGAAGAATGGGAATAACAGCAATGGAATCACTTGATCTATAGCACAAAGTACTAATAAATAATTACAGTACCTTATCTGTGATGTTCTTTTGTAACTGGGATGCGCTTGACAATATCTGCAAGCCAAAAGTGCCAATGTTTCTTCCAGTACTTCTTTTAGAATCTCCTGGGCTAACGCAGGGGGTAGAACAGCCCATAGATCATGATGAAGAGCACAGCAGAAATAATGCCACATCTGGACAGAGAATGAGCATCTTTCTCCCTGGCAAAACCACCAAATGTTAAACAACAGATACAAATCTGCCTGAATTCAGCTTGGATTCCATGAATCTAATCTACTCAGGCTAAGAGGAAACTGCTGAAGAGCAAAGAATGCTGAATTACTAGAACAGAATCCTTTCAAGATATAAAACATATTTTTGGCAAGGGAAGACCAACGATAGGAAATCACTGTTTTCCCATTAATCTGAACTGACATAAGCTTAGCTTTTCCCTAACTAACCTTTCCAGAAAATTCACTTTGAAAATGTATTCTATACTATTTTGTTATTTCTTTACTATATGTGTACTGTACATCTCATCTCTGCAGAGTCAAGAACAAATTCCACTGGAAACAATGACTGGCTATAAAACTAATGCTACAAATTATATTCTTATTTGCTGTGAAAACTAACCTTCTACTGTGTTTCCCCGAAAATAAGACAGGGTCTTATATTAATTTTTGCTCCAAAAATGCATTAGAGCTTATTTTTTAGGAATGTTTTATTTTACAGTCATGTAATCTTCTGGTTGCTGCACAATGGTGGAGGGTGGGGCTTCATTTAACTTAGGTCTTATTTTCAGGGAAGCAGGGTATGCAGAAGTCCCTGTTTAAGCCAATGATTTCTATATGGGGAATGAACGTCGATGTTATAGGCTAAATTAAGATTTATGTAGCACAGGTAACTCTGGGAAAAAGAAAAGAAATAGAGCTGCATGCACTACACTTCACAGGGTAGAACAGAAGTGCTTCGTATATTGTGATTTGCTAAATATACGTACATATTCAGTCATTAGATTTTCAATACAGTGTGAATATCTCATTATATTTTAACAATACCTGAAACAAACTGGACCTTATTATAATTTCCTGTCTAATATGTAATATATTATGAAGATCTGTTACTACGGGTCACTATAATAAAGTGCAACTGCAAGAATAACCTTTAACAGTAGAGACCTCTACACACAATATTTTTAAGATTAGCATCAAATCAAATGATTACTCGTGGCTATTTTATTAATGTTTCATAATATATATAATGTGTATTTGTATTTATAATGTGTGAATAAAAGTCATTTTTATAATTGTCTTCCACAGCAAGAAAATAAAATGCAAACAATATAAGTAGTACAAATACATATGTATAAGAAACCTTAAATGATTTGATTTGATTCAGTCCATTCAATGTTTGAGTTCTGAGACCCTTTTACAAAAAAAGCTTACTTGCCTTAGAAAATGCATTTCAAAGATAAACATATATCCTATTTAACTACATAATATCCATGTTGCTAAGCACATTCTGAGTGTTTCTGTCTTTTTTTATACAGTTCCGTATCTATTGGTAATAATCTGAAGCATATATTATTCCCATTACTAAAATTCTTCATGTTTTCCGATCACCTGGTATAAGCTTTGTTTTAAAAAATGAAGTCTTCATTATGATTTACATGAAAAGATTTTTCTTGTTTGCTATTTGTTGTTATTACAAAATATCTGAATGGGTAAACATCTGCTATTTTTGCAAGCTTCATACAATAAAACAGATGCGGGCTTTTATTTAGATTGTATGACAGAGAACAGACAGCTGGACAGTATTACAGAAGCCAGTTTGTATTATCTATAATAGACAACTTTATTTTTGACAATTAGAAAACATAAATTTTGAAAACTGAGAGAGATATTTCTAAACAAAAAGCTTTATTCAGTAATATATTATGGAGAGTACTGTAAATTTCAAAGTAAACCAGGTATTCTACCCACTCACTTGACGAGATGCTATACTGGAGAGTCTCCATATCATGCCACATTCTGTAATTCTTTATTGGAGTGTAAATTCCCACTGCCTGCTTTAACTACAGTATTAACTAAGGTTCAGTTAACAAGGATTTGAAACTGGTATTTCAAGTTCTCCTCTATTATTCATATTCTGTATAATCTAAGAAATGCTACAATTCTTATAATTTCAATTTCCGCTCTGGTCAATTCTGTTTTCCACGGATTATCCTTCAAGAAGAAATTTGAACAAAAGCTCTCTTGAGTTATGCACAAACAAAACTATGTTCTTCAGTGCTGTAGCATTAGTAATGACTAAGTGGCCAAATGATATCTAGTAAAGAGACATAACAGAATAACTTCCTTTCAGTGGAATCTATGTGACTTTGCCATTTCCAGAGCAACGAATCATTAAAAAATGTAAACACATGTATCCGTGTGTATTCTCTTAATTACAGACACTTATCACTTATTCATTAATTTACTTGCAACACATGAGTGGTACTCTTACAGTGGGAGAACACAACCTGAGAATTGTTGGATTAAACCATTTGAAGATATATGGCAGAAATTTATAAAAAGAAATAATACATATATATTATTTGATTGTGAACCAGAACTGTGAATTGAAAGCACAGATACTATTATGGAAGAATGTAAGATGAATATCCCTGTAATAAAAAGAAAAAAAAAGCCTAACCATAGGTGATTAGAATCAAGAAATATAAAACAAAGTAGAACCAAATGTTGTTGGAAGGTTTAGAGGTTAGAAACGAAAAAAGAGAATGACTCCTAAAGTTCTGTGAAGCCAGAAATATGTTTGTCACAAATACACAGTTCAAGAAACCAGACAACTGTACATATGGACATCGCCAGATGGGCAATATAGAAATCAAATACAGTGGTGCCTTGCTTAGCGACGAAACCGCACAGCGATGAAGATTTTGCGATCGCAAAAGCGATCGCATTGTGATGTTTTAAATGGGTTTTTTTCGCTTTGCGACAATCGATTCCCTGTTTTGCTTACCGATCATCGCAAAGCGATGATTTTTTAACAGCTGATCGGTGGTTCCAAAATGGCCACCGGGTTAAAAAAATAGCCGCTCGCTGTGTTTAGGGACGGATTCCTCACTTAAGAGACAGCGAAAATGGCTGCCATATGGAGGATCTTCGCTTTAAGGTCAGTTTTTTGCCCATAGGAACGCATTAAACAGGTTTTAATGCATTTCTATGGGCTTTTTAAAATCGCATAGCAATGAAATCGCTTAGCAGCTATTTTTGCTGCACGGATTAATGTCGCTATGCGAGGCACCACTGTAGAGTATATAACTGGAGGCAGGAGATTAAGTTACATTCTTTCTGTCAAAACAAGTCCAGAAGCAGATTGTGGTATCAATCATGAATTAGAACACTGAAGTAAAGCTGAAGAACAGCACTAAAAAACCCTACAGGTCAAAACATAATTTATTTAAAATTTCTGATGAATTTAACATTCACACAAAGAAAAGATTTTCATTTCTAAATTTAATTGACTATAAACCAAAAGAACTATGGATTGAAACCAGAGATATTATTAGGGAAGAATGTAAAACATTATTCCTGTAGCAAAAAGAAAACAAAAACCTAGACAGATGACAGAAGAAACACTTAAAACTGCTAAGGACACACAAGAAACAAAAGTAAAAGTGACAGAAATAGGGTCAGAATCTTAAATGCAGTTTTTCACCAACTGCCACATACAGACAATGAGAACTATTGTAAAAGCCAGAGCATAGAAACAGAAGAGAACAAAAAGAGAGGAAAAACAAGGTATCTCTTCCAGAAGATCCAAGAAATCAAACAAACATTTAAGCTTAGACTAGTAATGCTGAAAAACTAACACAAAAGCACACTAACTTGCCAGGATAAAATAAAGAGAAGTGAAAACAATATACTATACGGAAAAGATAAAGGGAAGTCACATTGTTTTGAAGAGGAACCGTATGATGAAAAACCTGCAATGCTAGAAAATGAAGTGAAAGCTACTCTGAAAGCACTGGGAAGAAATTAATCACCACGGATAGTTAAGATATTGATAGAAGTATTTCAAAATAGAGACTGAATGTGTTAAAATACTAATAAGATTATGACAACAAATATGGAAAACAAAACAATGGCCCACGTATTGTAACGTTCAATATACATTCCAATTCCTTAAGAAAGAAGATGCCTATGAGTGCATTGACTATAGGACATTGTTTTAAGTTCCCATACAGGCAAAGTGATGTTCAAGGTGTTGCAACAAAGGCTTTTACCTTTTTGGTAAAAAGGCAAGCTGGAGTCTGAAAAGGAAGAGGCACTTGAGATCATATTGCAAATATCCGCTTGCTACTGGAATGCACCAAAGAATTTCAGAAGATCAGTCTATGCTTTATAGACTACGGCAAAGCCTTTGACTATGTAGATCATGAGAAACTATGGGTTGTTCTGAAAAAAATGAGTTGATTGTCTTGATATGTAACCTGCATTGTGGACAAGAAGCTGCCGTTAGGACAGAATATGGAGCGCCAGAATCATTTTCTATAGGCAGATGTGTCAGAAAAGGGTACCCTTCTCTGCTCGATCTGTATGCAGAACATATTGTAGGGAAAGCTGGACTAGATTCAGGTGAAGGAAGAGTGAAAATTGGTGGAAGAAACACCAGCAATTTAAGATATGCAAATGACACCATCTTACTGGCAGAAAGCAGCAATGACAGTGAAAGAAGAAAGTGCCTAGGCAGGTCTGCACTTAAACAATAAGACACAGATCATGACAACAGAAGAACTGCTACGTTGTTGTGTAGAGTCAAGTCAGAACCGACTTATAGTGACCCTAATAGGTCTCTCAAAGTGTGAGAGAGATTTAAGAAATGGTTTTACCAGTTTCCATGGCTCAGTGGAGATTCAAACCCAGATTTCTTGAGTTCTAGTCCAACACTCTGTCCACAACACCATACTGGGTATCCACAGTAGAAAAGGACCACTTTAATGTTGACAATGAAGAAACTGAAATAGTGAAGTTTCTGTATACCTTGATTAACTTATCAATTAAAATAGAGACTGGAGCCAAGAAAACACAAGGAGGCAGCAATGAAGGAATTTAAAAAATATCATAATGTGTCCGGATGTGTCAATAGAGACCAAGGCCAAAATCATCCACACTGTTTTATTCTTGATCATCATGTATGGATGTGAAAACCGGACAGTGAAGAAGGCTGATAGGAAATAAATTAATTCATTTGAAATATGGTGCTAAAGGACAGCTTTATAGATATTCTGGATGCCCAGAAAGATGAATAAGTGGATCCTAGAGCAAACTAAACCTGAACTACTGTATTTGCTGGCGTATAAGACTACTTTTTTGCCCTGAAAAACATGCCTCCAAGTAGGGGCGTCATCTTATACACCGGGTGCCCTTCAGTTGGGATAGACATAGCTGCCCATAGTGGCCTTCCAATGCTCGCCTGGTGCCCATAGTAGCCTCCCAATGCCTGCCCACCTCATTCTACATGCCATCCAGTATTGCGCGGTATCCAAGGCAGCCGAAGCGAGCATCAGCAGCGAGACAGGGGTGCCAGCCTTTTCGATGTGACCGGCCTGTTCTGCTTGGCGGGAAGCAGCGGCCCTCCGGCTTGCCCACTTGTCTATGCAGAGCTCACACATGCGCACTTGCGCACTAGTGCCGGTCACAGGGAGATGCAGGGGCGGGGCGGAGGTGCTGCGGTCGCGCTGCGGCCATACAATGGTGACAATGAATAGCATCTTTTATTTGGTGTGTGGAAGGTGTGCGGAAGAGGGGGTAGTATTATACGGCAAGTATATAACAAACTTTATATTTTGAGTGGAAATGTTGGAGGGGTCGTCTTATACGGCCAGTCATCTTATATGCCGACATATACGGTATCTCTGAAGGCAAACATGACAAAACTGAGATAGTCAAATTTTAGGAATAAAGATAAGATTCTCCAGAAACAAGAATAAAGCTAGGTAAAGTTGAAGGCATCAGGAAAAGAGGAAGACCAAATATGAAATAGATTGACTCCTTAAAAGAAGCCATAAACTTTAGTTTATAAGAGCTGAGCAGGGCTGTTAAGGACATTTTGGAGAATAATCATTCAAAGTGTTGTCATAAGACAAGACAATTTGACAGCATGTTACAACAATATGATGCCAGAATCTAGGGTGGATAAAAATATTTTTTAATCAAATTGATTTAAATCACAAAAATATTTGAATTTAAATTGTGATTTAAATTAATTTGATTTATATTGAATTCACCCTGGCAGAATTTTATCACTTACTTAAAACTCACTTAAACATCTAACAGCCTAAATTAATGTGGCAAATTACCACTAGTTAATCTGAAGCTTCTCAACTGTCCAAGAGATGCAACTACTATGCAACAAGAAGTACAGGCACTGACTGTTTAGTGTCTGTACTTTAGCAATTCATCTCTAGATTTGATGCTGGAAGGCATAAGATGGTTCTGACCTACACTATGTTTCAACAAAAACCGCAACTGCATATTATGAAGTATGATGGACAACTGTAGTAGAATTACAATCTTAAAATGTGTTCACATATCCAAAGGATACTATAGCCATGGTTTAAATTAGTTTTTTTAAAAAAAAACAAAAGTAAGAGACATTTGTGCAAAAGAGGGTAGTAAATTTAACCTCAAACCTCATAAAAAGCTTTGTTATCATCCCAGTAGTGACTCTCAGCATCCTGTAAAATGCTAGTAGCACAAATTCTGATGCAGTAGTTTGCAACTTGAAAACGAAGAACATTGATCAATTCCTGATACTGTTGGAGAGGCTCTTCAAGTAAGGGTCTGTTCAGATAGAATGATGAAAGAAAGACGTAAAGTTCAGTGCAATAGAAGATAACAATCTACAGTTGTAAAAGTGGTTTGGATTATTAAATATCCATCATTCATTTCTCTCTGATTCTTAAGTCTAAACCCATGTTCACTTTAATATCTGGTTTTTATTATAAAAACTGTTTGAAAATGTACATCGGCTGTTCCACAATTGCATACTATTCTGTTTTAAACAAATGATGCTGTCATCACACTGAAATAAAAAAAATGCAGACAGAAATAGCCTGGTTGCAGAAACACAATGTGCAATTCTAAGTAATACTTATAGAAAATTATGGCTCTTAAGAAATAATTTATTTTTATTTGAAAGAATGTTCTGCTAAGAATAACACCAAACAGCTTGGTATGTATTTATGTTTGTTCGACTGATTTATATTCCAACTTTATCCCAATGAAAAACCACAAGTTGGTGTACAAAACCTGAACACTATGTTTTAAATCACAACAAATTAAGACATTAATATTAAAATATGATTAAATCAGAAGAATGTTAAAACATGCCAAAACAAATTAAAAAACCTGATAAAAATATGCTGCATGCCCTACTAAGAAAGAGATTCTTACAAAGGCATATACGTAGAGGTCAAAAGCTAACTTAAAAAGGAAGGTTTTCACTTGCTGGCAGAAAGACTGTAAAGAAGATGGCGCCTTATCCTCACAAGGCAAGGAATTTTAGAAGAGTTCACCCTTCCAGAAAGGACCAAAACCACTGGAAGATAGTACCTCCAAATCCCATCCCGGTGATGTTAACTGGAAGGATACTATGGTCAATGGTATTGAAAGCCACCAAGAGGTTAAGCAGAACCACGTAAGGTTCTCCCTGTCTAATTCCTGTTGTAGGTTGTTCATCAAGGAGATCAAAGTGGGACAGTCTCATAATGAGGATTGAAACCAGCCTGAAATTTATCTAGATAATCCATTTCATCCAGCAACCCCAAGAGCTGAGAGGCCACCACATGCCTCAGCAGCTTTCCCCTAAAATGAGATACTGGAGACTGACTCATAGTTGTCCAATATAGTGGGGTCCACCGTTTTTTCAAAAGATGCCTTATAGTTGAGATACACCTTGAGCCAGAGGACGGAATCTGAACCACAGAAGATGCACCATTTCCATCATCCATTTGGCCAGTCTTGCCTTGGCTACAATTATAAGTCAAGAAGGGCAAGAATCCAGCACACGTGATGGATCTCACCTCTCCAAGAATCCTATCCACATATCTGCACTGCATGAATTGGAACAACTCCATTAACACATAGCAAGCTTGTGCCAAAATAACTTCTACAGCATCTGCATGATGTGTAGCATTCAGGTAAGAATAGATCTGAGCGATTTTGTCTGCAAAGTACAATGTGTAAATTCCTGACAGCAGCTATCAAGCAGTTCTTACTCTTTTCTCCTGGACCAATAGGCCGTAGATAGCTTGAAACAACTGGGCAGACACAATGGTGGCAAAGAAGAAAGCTTTTGTCACTTTCTTTACTGCCACAGGACTTTTAGTAACTCCAGCCCATATTCAATCAGACATATTGTATTAATATAATTTATTACTAGTATTATTAGACAATCTTGCAAATGGCAAAGATAACACTATTGAAATAGTTGCTTCTGGTCAAAAATAGTCTAATTATCTTAACATTTTAATTTGTTTTTAATTTTACCTAAATTTCGTATATGCCTGTAATTTTATTTGTGCAACATTCTGATATGAATAAAAAAAAGAAAAATATTATTTACATAATTACTTGCTGACTTTTTGTTGCTGTTATTTAAACTATTTACATTTAACAGTAGCATAACCCCCCAATAGGATTCCACCCGATAAGGAAAAATGAAGAGTGGGCACATTCTTAAAATACATGTTTTTGTTTAACATCCTTCATCATATAGAAAGTGACAACAGAATTTCTTAATTTAATAGCTGTTTCCTAAAGCAATTAGGAATAGATATCCTGTCCTTCAAAATGTAGCAAAATCTGAGGTTATGATCTCTGCATAAGTATTTATTTGCCATCTTTTATTGTTATGCATACTGTGGGTTTTTTATAATTTAACAATGGAAACTATAATCATATGCATGTAACCTCCATTGCGTCCAGCTGGATTTACTCCCCTGTAAGAAGTACCAAGATTTCAGTTGAAACCAATGGCTTAAATGTGTCCAGGGCAACATATAAATGTGGAACAAAATAGAAGGAATAAAGAAAGCAAAGGTTTCCTGTCTGGTTACATCAATGAATGGTGATGCTGTTGAACCATTATCAACGGAGAACAAGGAATTTTAAAAAGAAGTGTTAGCTGTTCTTGCAAGCAGCCTCCAGATGTTACTATTCAGTTTCAGGAGGGGTAGGGAGGAGTAAAGGAAGCCAATTAGTGAGGAAAGAGACTAAAAGAGAAACATTCAAGAAACTCAGAACAAACTATTGTTACTATGAGCCATCAGTTGCTTGCAATTTATGATGACCCTAATAGGGTTTTCAAGGTATGTAAGGCTGCAACTACATGGTCAAATACTGCGAGATTTGCTGCAGATATAAAATTGATGAATTTAATTTTTACTAATTAATATGTAAAAATTACTAATTGATAACCCTTTTTGCTCCCGACACATAATTTTTTCTTTACCACTGGGGGTTTCTACTGTTTTCAGTCCAGAAGAATTTGAAAGGACTTTTCCCCATGTGACCACACTGGATCTCTAGTACAGTGGTGCCCCGCATAGCGACGATAATCCGTTCCGGAAAAATCGTCACTATCCGGAATCGTCGCTATCCGAAACAAAAAAAGCCCATGGGAATGCATTGAAACCCCTTCAATGCGTCCCTACGGGCTTAAAACTCACCATCCTCCATAGGGCAGCCAATTTTGGTGGCTGTCTTGCAAGGAATCCATGCCAGAAAAGAGCCGGAAGCTATCTTCTCCACTCCAGCCCCTCCCCCTCCCCGCCTCACAGCTGATCGGTGCTGCTCTTAGAAGCTTGCCCAGGCTTGCCCAGAAGGTAAACAGGCAGTGGAAATGCACTGGGGAAGCCTCTGAAACCTGCACTTTGCCGGGGTGGGGGTGGGGGTTCAGCAATGAAAGAGGTGCATTTTCACTTTCGCGATTGCAAAATCTTCATCGCTATGCGGATTCGTTGTTAAACGGGGCGCCCGTTAAGCAAGGCACCACTGTATTAGGCATCAGCTAAGAAAAAAGATGTCTGTTCTATTATTGAAATGGAAGAGTTTCATTTACATGGGTTCATCTATGAGTTCATTTAAACAGCACAGTGGAAGACACTCACTTTCTATTGGTCTCTTTCATCAAATTATGATACATCTTAAAATGCTGATAGACGTGCACTGCTGTGGAGAGAATAGTATAGAGATTCTGCAGTGGAGCTCTGGAAGGGATATCTTTACTTCTCTCCTCCAACCTTGTCAGTATAGCTGTTGCTACTTTGCAACAAGCCTCTACAAAGCTTGCTCTGATTTCCTCGAGAGACTCATCTCTGCAAGCCAAAGCCAACGGAAGCAATGTGTCAAGCTCTTCCATGATGTCAGAACAAAACTATGGAATATAAAAGTGACATTCAGTTACAATAGATTTGTTTAATGTCTATACTGAACAACCAGTATTTGGCATAAGTTTTATATTTATTTCACTGATATTAAAATGCAAAAATATGTACAGTGCAAAACCCCAGAAGTACTAATATAAAAACCTTAGAAAATATAACTTAATACTAATATTTACCAGAATTTTAAAAAATACAATGAATTACAAGACTAAAAGGTATTTGAACACATGACATTTTTCTTGTATTGGACATAAGATTTCTACACTACATATGGTAGCTTTAAACCTTGTGGAAAAACACCCACAAAGCATATTTTTATGCAGCGGTTACATCCTTTCAAGTCTTATTTTCCTGTAACCCAAAGAAGTTCTATGGTTACATGACTTATTGATTGTGTAGATTTATATCCAGTTAATAAACTACAGTTCTCAAAATGGCTTGCAACATTTATAAAATGCAACAAATACACCAAGAACCATGCCCTCCAAAGACTCCAGGGGAAGCAGAACATAAAACCCCAAAAGCTGGAGCACAAACCACAATGTTTGCATACTCTTTTGTTAATCCTTCCCCAATAGTTTTGATTAAGCGTTTTACAAGACAGTCTCAAGCTACTGAATTCTATGCACCCTGCACTCTCTTCAAACATTGCTTATATATTTGAGCAAAGGTGGGGAATGACTAGCCTATGGATTACACACAGTAATGTGTATGGTAAAATATCAGTAAGTAATGTTAGGTTTACCTTTGCACTCTATTTGATACAAAACGAAAACATTATATTAAAATAAGCATGCATTTGGAACCCTGGTGAGAGAGAAAAGCCACAACAAGAGGGCTAAGCATGCTTCTTCAACTCCCCATCCTCACTTCAAACAGATCCCTTCTGACATATTTCACAGAACAGAACTCTTTTTAAAAAGAGGCAAACACACATATGATTCAGTAGGCCATCCATTATTATTATTGATTCTGGTGTATATATTAATTGATCCAAAGTGTGGAGATAAGTAATATAGAGGGAAGTCGTTTTATTTTAGGTGGATTTGTTTTTAACTTAGACTGTTTGGTCTAAACTTCAACTCTCAATTCACTGCTTCTGCAACTATTCTCCAAATTCTATCCCATCATCTTTCAAATCTGAAAAAGCCTTTCTGCTCTAATATGTTATCTCTCTTTTTGAAGTTCTTTCAAGTGTTAAACAGTACAGTATTTCATCTAGAAAAACACATTAGAAGAGATAAGCTTTTCCCTACCTGTTAAAACTCAGCATTTCAATTATAGCTGATAAACAAAGACTATACTGTATAGTACAATTGCAAATAAAAAAAGGTAAAATGGGTTTTAAGCTACCTTTAGCATTAATTGGATAAGTCTATTTCAATTATTGATTCTATATATTTGATTTTCACAATATTATTAATATTGCTAGTATTTTAAGGGAAGAAAAACAAATCTGACAGCCTGACATTTTGATGGGTTACAGATCTTTTGGTACATGCCTTTGCAATTCGTTTTGGTTGTTCTTCCTCATAAACTACACCCCAGGATTCCTTCATGTGTCGCACATTTATGAGACGCATCGCATAGCAGGTAGCTGAAGTCTGTTCATTCTGTTCCTGTTGAAGAATTTTACTAGAAAAATCTTCAACTGCAATTGTTATACAGTGTGCCACGGAAGAAGACAGGTCTTTAAATGCACTTCTCCAGCTGAACTCCAAAATGGTAGACTGAAATAGATGATACAACAAACACTGAACAGTAAAACATTGCTATTTTAATGTTACCAAAACCAAAGAAGACTCTTTGTATTTTTACAGCCCAGTCAACTTGAAGTATTTCCTGTATGGCAACCTGTTACTTAGGCTCTGTACCTCTTCTTCAGCAATTGTCAGAGGGAAACACATTTCCCTACTTCTTTCATGCGAGTTTTCCTTCACATTGTAGAGTGATAAGAAACTCAGCAAACCACAGAGGGATATGCAGTGTGCAGCACAGGGAAATTTCCCTGGTTAACAATCTGACATTTGAGCCAAAAACAAAATTCCTCACAACTTTGGGTCTGGTTTGCAGAGAAGAAAAGTCAAGATTAAATTGGTTAATGGCAGTTTCTAATGTGATGAAATTACTGCATGTTCCAATTAAACTTCTATGACATTTTCTTGTTACTCATGTCATATATATTCCCCCTTTTAAAAAAAGATTTGAGTCAATATAATACTTAGGAGTCTTTCTTTCGGAAATGACATGATATTTCTGAAAAAGGGCAGAAAGCTTTTGGGAATCGCTTTGAGTTCCAGTGTTTGTTGATACACAAACCAGCAATTAATTTGGGAAAAATAACCAAGACTTGTATGTTTAAGCAAGCATAGTATGGCTTTGCTTGTCTTTGTATTAAAATGAACTTCCTGGTTTAATTATTATCCTTTTTCTGAAGTTTTCAAATTCTGCAGATGATTCATGTTGACTACACACTGCTTCAACCAAACTGAACAAGACAGACCATAAATAAAAACAGCCGTTGGGGATAGGTTCCCATAAATGAAACAATGGAGCACACGTTAAGATTCAAAGAACTACACAAATATAACAAATATTTCTGAACACTCAAACATGGCTTGAATTTAGTTATTCAGGTAGGAAAATTGGAAAAGGGAACTTTCAATGGCATCTTCTGATGAGGCACAGAGTCTATCTCCAAGAGGGGGGAAAAGCATTTAAAAGGAGGCTTAAAGGAAATACATTATATGGGTCCATGTATTTAAGTGATCTTTGAGATCCTTGGCATAGAACCCAAGTTCAGAATTAGAATCCAGTTTGTTTATCAACAATCAGTTTTGTGATCTGTTTAAAGTCAAAAGAACATAAGACCTTTTTACAAAAGTATTTAAATTCTTTTGTATGGATGGATCTTGATATACAGTAAATAATAAAGTCCTGGTCCCACATTTTGTTTATCCAAAAATATTGCACAATTGCTGTTTATAAACTCTGATAACTCTTCTTTTGGCCATGTGATAGATGTGATGTATTACTTTTGATATAACTCAAGAATTTTTATGGCTTAAGATGCTTTACTACTCAAGAGTATGAGATAATTTTTATATAATGATTACATGTAGGATAATAAGGAGCATCTACCATGCTTGTGGAAAACAGCTATCACAAATTCAGTAGGAAGCTTATGCTAAAATAGGTCTTTGCTTTTCAATTTTTTTTCAAAATACTTACAGAAATATTTAGAAAATTGAATACAAATGTAAAAGCAAAAAAAGGATGCTCCTTATGTAGGACTGTGATATATTAAAAAACTTTTACATACAGCTTTCTTTTCCACAACATCAGTCTCATCAGACTTTGCTTAATAATAGGACTGAAACTCTTAATATCTGGGTATAAGAGATTTCTAAAGATTATCTTAATAGACTTTTATCTACATTGAAAAGAAAAAAGTCTGGTAAAGTGATGGACTTTTCAATTTTTATTTTACTCACCTTTTTTACCTGAAGTAACTGCTCTGGAAGCACACTGGTGTCATTTGTTCCACTTTCCCCTATTAAAAGCTCCCCACCAGCTTTCTTCAGAACTCCTGCACAGTATGAAAAAATGGGATCAAAGATAAGAATAATCATGTGGAAAAACTGCTAGTCTGCAGTACCTTCTGATATATCAATATGTTCCATAAAGATACTCATTAAGCTGTATTGGAACGCTGGTAATGAAAGAAAGCAAATTTCCTTTACAAGATCATATGCTACATTTCCTATTTTACTGAAAAGCATATAGCACAAGAGGGTTGAAAATATTCAGCCACAGACCAGCCTTCAAAAGGCACAACATATGTACAGCCTTTACACATACATTTAGCCTTGATTTTTATATTCAAAATATAAAATAGTATTAACATTAACACAACTATTAGAGGATAAGGTATTGTGGATTTCCATTCCGGTTATACCCTATCCTGGTGAATAGAATAAAATGTCCTGAACAGATTTATCATCCATTCCTATATGAAGCTGGCAGAATGTTTATAAAGGGGGGGGGAGCCCTGAAAGAGGCAGATCAAAGTTTGTCTGTGAAGATATTCATTTTAAAAAGATAGTTAACTAAGGAAGAGTCAGTTAAAAATAAAACACAGAAATCACTAGACATCATATCAACAGGTCAAGATAAGCCCAGGAAGACTAGCAGCCCAAATGTTGGACATCCCACGATTGTCAAGAATGTCTCTGGACCAGCCCTTGCTCTTAGAACATCTCTGTACAAGCCCTTGCCATCAGATGACTGTCTGTAGCAAGTGACAATTCAGAATTGTCTGCAGCTCAGCATGCAAGGGATTTTGTGGCCACACCTACAAAATGGCAAGGGACGTGAATGTGGTCTACCTGTATCCAGCTTCACAATGGGCATGACAATGCTTACAGCAGGAGGTCACCACTTGCTCTAGAGTCTAGAGCCCACTGGGACTCAGAGGCTCATTAGTGCTATCAGCTGCAGTTCATGCCTACTAACTGTAGCAGAAAGTCCTCGACACTTAGGCCCAGGAGGAAGTGCAAGCCACAAAGGCACAGATCAGTTATTGTTATTTTGTACCCCAGGTACACTGCTGGAATATGATCCTTCAAGTGAGAGCATGGGCAACAGTAGTGCTACAGCATGTTCAGCCATGAGCTCTTGTCCTTTGATTCCATGTTCTAAGAGCAGGCAAAGGGCCATATATTCTGAGACAGGTGGGAGACAGATGAGGCCATAGGAATAGGCACGCTTGTGCCATCATTACGGTTGTTTTTTTTAACATTATCTTTTGTGAATTTACAAATTACAAACATTAAATGATATAACAAGACAGAATACTTGATAATACACAGCCAATTTGTAAGACTGTTACTTGACACTGCCTTTTTAAAAGGCAGCAAATCTTTCCAGAGGTCCATGTGAGCTGAAGATGGGGAGGCAGGGTCTATCGAGTTTATGTAATTTATGAAAGGAAAGCTGATGTCTGGGAAATTATTCTGAAGAGATTTGAAAGTCCAGACGTGCAAGTTCCTTCATCAGAGATTTTGGCCAATTTTTAGTTAACCCATTTGATTAATTTTGTGACAATACATAAATCCAGGTGCATTTTCATGACTACAGAAACACAAGTGTATAATTGCTTGCTGTCTTCTTGATATTGCTATCCATCTTGCTTCTGGAAGTCAACTGCTCCAAAGAATCCATGACATTCCCAAACACCTCAGGGATGCTAGGGAAGGAGTCTGGAGGGAGGAACAGCCAGGACCCATTTGTGTGAGAAACAAAGAAGAATCTTCAGTAAAGCACCACAAACTCTAGTGAGAAATTAGCCATCTGTAAAAAGTGAAAGTGCCTCATATTCTATTCATATAGATTGCCAAGTACATGTTCAGTTAGCTAATTACTATTTGATTTTAAATCAAATTCCATTTTTTTCAGACTGAAAATATTCATTGATCCTCACATTTTACTAGTAAATCTGATAGTATTCTAATTTGAGGGTGTGATCACACATGAAGTCATTCAGGGTTGATGCAAACTTTTGTATACCACACCTTAGCTATATGTCCTAGTTGAATTTATAATTATGGTCACATGAAAATGTTTAATTATCCCCAGAAGGTGCATTTCAAGCATCTACACCACTTGCTCAGACACCAGTTAATGCTGCTAGTTATAGAGATTGGTTGGTGTGGTGGGAGATTCTCTCCTTCTGTCCTCTTTTATTTTTGTGTGTGCGCGTGTGCCTGTTAATGGGACCTATGTTTGTGAGACAGCAATAGTGTGTGTGCACGGGCTTCAATACATGCCTGGAAAAGATCAATATAAGTGACCACACAAGACAGAAAGGAAAAGAATACAATATGGGTGGCAATTCTACAATAATAATATTAATAAAACTCTGCCAGCAGATCAAAATGTACAGAATGTGTGTGGAAAGAGAACAAGTCTGCTTGCAATTAGGTTTATATCAGTTGATGGGAAAAAACAGCAAAATATACAATGTGAAGTGCAGTACAAATGGCAACACACACACTGAATCCTGCTTAAAATACAGAATACTTATTTTACGACTACTTAAAAATATCTGCTACAAGTTTTCCATAATTCCCTCATGTTTTAAATGACTTTTCTTGTTGGTTGAACTGTTAGCAGGGGATGTGTCATATCATGACGGCCAGTGCTGTGTAGTGGATCAAGTGGTGAACAGGAGACATCAGTTCAAACCTCCTCTTGGCCATGGAAACTCACTGGGGGCTGGCATTGAAAAAAAACACTCATATGTCTCATATATACTATGAAAACCCTTTTAGGGTTACCGTAAGTTGGATGTGACTTGACTGCACACACACATATATTATGGCACAAGTACAAAGGTTTTGTGCTACTTTAAATCACTCATACATTTACATGTTTAGGCTTGTGTTCCAGAAGTGCAAACATTAATAATACAATTCAGTAAATGCAAAGGTTTGCACTTTCCAAGGAACCTAGGTCTAAAGGACTGAAATTATACAGATAAAAGCACACAGAAAATCAAGGACATAAAACCCTGCACTACTTGAAAATATACCTCTACCAATAACGGCGGGTAAAATGACACTTTCATGCTAGATTTTACTCTGGTAGTAAAATCTACTGAATTGTTACTCCATGCACCGGGAAGTGGAGGAGAGGGGATTACAAAATGTCTCTTCTGGTTAGAAAGCTTGCATTCTTTTCCTTGTTTTTCATAACAGTAATGGGAGAAAGGGGACTTGAAGAAAATCAGTTTTTTTTAAAGGAAAGATTTACAGACATTTTGCTAAGCATTTTACAGAAATTTTCCTAAACTTTTATACCATCCGAAGAAAGTTCTAGCAAACATATGAAAATAAAATCTCTTTGTATGCCATGTTCTGAATGCAAATTCCATCAAGTTTACCATCCTACTTCTTAAAAATGATCTTTATTACAAAACCTGCTGCTATTTTTAGGATCCATACACAGAGACAACCTAATGTGTATCTGGCTTCAAAAGCTACCCATTAGGGCAATGACTTTGTAAACCTGATAACATTATTCTTTTATATTGCTTCTAGAGATTTATGTGAAGTAATAGATTTCTTCTTAATCTGTGAAGGAAAGACCTTTGCAAATCTTTCTAGTCCCCTGAGGCAAAGCTTGAAAACCTAAGGCCTTGACAAGTTTGCCCAGAGTGGTTTCAAAGAGCTCCACTGGAAAAAGCTTTTCTTGGCACTCATTATCAGATCTGTCTAAAGTTCACCTTTCTTGCTGAAATGGGGGGGGAAAGGTGAAAGGAAGATGAAAAGTGTGTTAGATGTTTTTGAAAATCTCAACAAGAGACTTCTGAAACACCAGAGAAGAGAATAGCACACCAGAAAGGCAGAAGGAGAACATAATTTGGCCAAATATTTTTCATTCTAAATAAGGATGTTCTGCTTTATCCATGGCTGCTGCTGAACGTTCCAGGTTCCTTCAAAAGATAACATCTCCTGTGATAATGATTGTACTAGGTATGTTTGAGCATTCCACTAATCAAACGACTGTGAAAATCAAGGGGAACAGAACAGCAGGAATAGACAGGACATTGGGAAGAAAAGGTTAATTCTTTTCAACATTACCAGACAAACTAATTTACCACACATATATCCTTCAATCTTCTGATAATCCTTCGGGCGGAGGGGCAGGGGGGAGACATAGGAAATCAGACTACAGGCCTCCTTCCTCAACAGAAGTCCCAGATTTTTTATGAAAATGGCAAAATTTAAGAGGCTTACCCTAGTGGTACTTCATTTATGGAAGTATAAACCAGGTGAGGAACATATTCAGTTTTATTTTAAAAAATTAAATTATTTTTGGCATTATCGTAAACATTTATCATATTTATCCAGCCAATCATGTCCATGTCCATGTAACTGAAGACGCTTCTCAGCTTGTCCAGGTTGCAAATATTAACCACTCATTTTGTTACAAGTTTTGTTAAAAGTTCAGTACTTCACAGCCCTCAGTGGGGAGTACTTAAATTTCTGGGCATAAAAAAATTATAGGAAGAATGAAAATCAGCACAGTGAATTTGAATATAATATGTTTGAAAGTACTGCAGCAGTGTCTTATAGGAATAGAGCTGCAATGGATTAAATTCCAGATAATTCAAACTGAACTACAAAAAAGGTTAAGTTGATTCAGTATGCCTGCCATGTATATATTTTTGATAGTGTTCACTTTTTTCTACTGTGTCCCTTGGTGCTATTATCTGCCATGAGATTACAATCAGACAGCATCAGTGGGCAGTACTTCGTTGAGCTGTAACTTCTATTTAAGCAACCACCTAAATTGGCCTTCATAGGCTTCCATTGTGCAGACTGCAAAGGACTTGTCTTCATGGCAGCTAGAAGTAGTGTGAACTATGTACCTCTCTTTTCTTCCCAGTTCCTTTTTCTTCTTCTTTTTTTGGTTCACAAGCAACCTCCTACCAAAAGCAGAATCTGCAGAAGAGACTACATCCAAGTGATAATACTATGAAAACATATGAAGAAAAGCCCAGGTGGCCACCTTGCAAATTTCCAATGTGGAAGCCTTCGACCTCTCCGCCCAAGCAGCAGCTATAGTCCTAGTGTAATGAGCTTTACAAACCCTGGGAGCCACTTTACCCTTAACTACATACGCCTCCCTAATACAGTTCCTTAACCATCTAGCTAAGGAACTCTTAGAAGCCATTTGACCCCTCTTAAGACCCCCTAAGAGTACAAACAATCTGTCAGAAGATCTAAAATCTTTGATTTTTCTGAGATAAACCCTAAGTGTTCTTCTTACATCCAATTTATGCAGCCATTGCTCTTTGTCATTGCTGGGTCTAGAGGGAAAAATGATGGCCAAGAAACCTCCTGGTTTAGCTAAAACTCTGATGCCACACATGGCAAAAATAAAATAAAATATAAAGAACTTTCTAAGTACTTTATTTTTGATGGATATCTACAATGTTCAGAACAACAAGCTTAAAATCGCCATATAAACTTCTTTTTCTAGTGCACACTTTCTACCACATTTCTGTAACTAACTAGCACATCTTCAGCACAGAGTTAATCGAGCCTTTTCACAGGAGAAAACTGGCACAGTGTTTCAATTAATGTGATGCTGAGAAAATCCAACCAATTGATGCACTAGCCTTTATTTTTTTGCTATGATTTAGTAACTATGAAATTCCTTGAACAGAAATATGGTAGCCTTATCCAGGATCTCTAGTATTGCGTCTCTGCATTAGCCCCACATTTTTAAGAAGGGTCACAAAAGACCTTAACCATTTAATCATTAACAGAAGGTTGCTGTTTTTCTCCAACCAATATGGATTGCGGCTTTCTAAAACACTTTCAACTTAGGGGGAGGATTCAAATGAGAATGTTCCACTGACAAAATGGCTTCCATCAGCAGAACAGGACTGCCTGTACATTTTCAAAGCCTGAGCCAGAGGACCAGAACACCTGGGGACAGCCTTTGAAATAGCACAGAGAAGCGCTAGGCAGAGGAAAGTGAAAGAAGGCCTCACTGCACCAGCAGATGTACACTACCACCATACTGAGTTCAGGCTCATCTTCCCACATGGCAAGACGTTTAGTTAAAATTTAGTTCATTTTTAAGTCTTCCATCACACAGTATATGTAGGTTTATAACTATTATATTCTACGAATAGTTTAGGTTCATGCTCATCATAAGTTTATTCATTATGAAATATAATTTTATTCATAATGGAGAAAAATGGTAGACTTGACTGAGAAAAAAAATAATCAAAGATATAGACCAGAAATAAGGTGATGTCATGTGAGTGATAAAGAGGTGTGCTATTTTCCTGTCCCAATTATTCAATCTACTGTACTTCTACAAGACAATTCTTTCAAAGGAAAAATACGGTAAGTAAAAATGTATATTACCTTGAACATTTTTGTCCTCAGAAAAACTTGGTAATAACAGCATTTCTGAAGACAGTTCTTCAACCTTTTCTTCCATCAACAAAAAAAGGTTTATAAATTGGGAAAGGCACCTGAGTTGATGTAGTGTTAAACAGAAGTTTCTCCCTTTTCTAGAAAATTCCTGAGCAACTGAAAAAAGAAGCAAAAGAAATTAGTTTTGTATAATATATTGCACTAGATCCAATACACAGAAGTTCACTATATACATTAAATATGTTACATCAATATTAATTTAAGATATATCTATGCAGAGAAGATAAGCAGTAATTGTAGGTCATTGTAGATAAGATTTAAACCTATTTTGATGACTGTGAAGGGGGATCTTAAAGTGATCCAACAAAACAAAACAGTTCTTAGGGACTAACACATTATATTTAGCATAACATTCTGTGGGCAACTTCCTTAGTATTTAAGATGCCATTTTTAAAGTGCAGCTGGCTGGATAGCTCAGTGGTTTAGGTATCTGGCTGCAGACCCAGAGGTTGGGAGTTTCATATCCCACTGTGCATTCCAGAACAGCCCAGCCTGTGTGGCTTTGGGCACGCTGCAGAGTCCTAGGATGCTCCCAGAAGAAAGGAATGGTAAACTACTTATTCTCTACCTGGAAAACTCTGAAAAAGGGTCACCATAACTCAGAACTGACATGATAGCACATAATTATGCTTTAAAGACTTGTTAGTCTTTTAAGGTGCTACAAGATTCTGTTTCTTTGCTGCAATACACTAACATCGGTACTCTCTTTAAAAATTGAAATCTTTCCTGAAGATAAGTGCTCAAAGCAGTGTTGAGCGCTTCTCTATGAGAACTCTCACAATGTGCAGCAACAATGCATCTTGTCACTGACACTCTTCAACATCTAGCTGTCTATAAAGCCATTGAAATGGATTGTCTAAACGTCCATTTTCAATGTGCATTATCAAATAAACTCAAGAGAACTTTTTAATATTTAAAAAATAGAGAAAAAGGGGCTGTCTCACGTGAGAATTTGGGATCCTTGTTAGTCTGAAATAAATCCAAGTAGCATGAGCCTGCTTGTAAATAAGACAGAGATCATGACAGTGGGTGGCTGTTATCTAGTGAAAGGGGTTGTCTATTCTAACATTTCCATTAAGAATCCAATCTGTAACCTATAAGTGCTCCTGGAGGCTTAGATGATGGCTGTAGTGAGTAGTGCTTTTTGTTAACATTTGACAAGCAACATCTGATCTCTTCTGTAGGTCTGAGATCTGCAACTATAATCCATTACTATGCAACCTTAAGAAACAATTGCTAAAGTGCATTCTCTGGGTAGTCATCCTTGAAAATAGCTCAGAAGTGGCTAAAGGTGGGGGTTTTCTTCTTAACAGACAGATCACTAAGATCACACTTTGGCTTTTTAAAGTCACATCGGCTACCACTTTCTGGGTCCAGCTTAATATTTCGCTCATATGAGATTCAGGGTCCAGCAGCTATAAGAAGCAACTAGGGCAATAGGTTCTGGGACTGAAGTCTGGGTCATCATTAAAAAACAAATTCTTCATATAGTGGTATCATCTAGTATGACACTATGTTTCTCCACTCCCCATCCCCAAGTCAAGCATTTATATTCTGATAGTCTCTATGAGTGTTCATAAGCAAAGAAAAGCAGAATTACAAATTCTAAAACAGAAATTTTAAGAGAAATCAAATTGAACTATACTTTATTCTTACAATCAAGTGACTAAAAGCTACTAAAACAAACAAAATTCGCCACTGCTCTCTGGGATTTAGGTTTCCTGAAAACATAACAAAAAAAGTCTAAATGCAGGCTCCCTCTCAGGTTCAAACACAGATTTCAGCATGATTGTTTCTGAACTGTATGCTGCTGCCCCTTATGCTTAGCCACACAATCTGCAAAATAATGGTTACACAGAAGTATTATGATACGTAGTTTCCATTATGCTATCTTGCCAATTTTCCTCTGTGTTCCCCGTCATCTGGTTGTCCAATATTTCCCTTTATGCAGATTTCGACCTATAGTTTTTCTGCCTCCTGAGGTTGAATGCTGTCTCTAAAGTAATGCTCCTCATTGCTTTATTTATATAGATTTGCTTGCTAGGTTCAAACTTTCCTAGGTTCCATGAGATCTGTCCCAGACTTCCTTCTTGATGCTGCACCATTCCTATTGGTACTTTTAATTTTAGCACTAGAGGGCTTATCTAGAAGGAGCATTTGTTTTTCCCCACTTTGTACTAGTTGGTGCTACTTAAGTCAGATCTTACTGAATTTCTTTCAACATTCTCCTAATTTCTCATCCCTCCTAAGAAATCAGCATATCTTTTAAGAAATGGATCACAACTTTTCAAAAAGCTAGAAGGAACTTCTTATAAGTTATAATCCTTTAGGATCTTGCCTGCTGGATATTAAAAGGATCTTGCTGCCTTAATTCCACCATTATTGAATAAATAAAAGAAAGAAACAAACAAACAAACAGAAGGTGGTTTTAAAAAGCAGAGGGGAAAGAGATTTTGTTACAGTTTGTACTAGTTTAAGCCCTACATCATCTGGATGGACAGAAAAATATGTTCCACTTGGATCAGTCCTACAGCCTAGTAATATTTTTAGAGTGGTTACAATGGCTTTCTTTATAAAACTCTCTGTTCAGAACTCATTCTAATTCCTACATATGATCATTTCATTTTCTTTCTTTGCTAGTGAATTCTGATCAAGCGTATTATGAATTATTTAACCAATCTAATAGTCAAGTTATGTAATACAAGAGGACAATGGACAAGCAGTGCTTTGCAATGAGGTTGTTTTGTTTTGTTCTCATTGCTTTCTAAATTAAACCAAATTAAGAAATAGGCTTTCGAGGATGAGCATGTATTAAAACCAAATGTTTATGAAACTGTGCTACATTTGTAAACATTTTTACAATGTTTCTTCAGTTTTATGTGAAGAAACATTCATTCATCCATTCATTCATCCATTCATTTACAGCTATTGTGCTTTTCATCCAAATAATTATATGACACTTCAGTAGAGAAGCTCCTTATCATTACTGTTAATGTAGAAATGCTTTGTGCTAAAAAGAGTAACTTCAGTAAATCAAAAAGGTGTTCCTTGATTTCTATCCTGTCTTTATGCCCAAAACTAGGACCTTACAATATAATTTAATTGTACAGTAGAGAACAATTAAAATATTATACATTATAAATATTAAATGATAATTTAATCCATCATATTATTAAACAGAAGGACTGAAACCACTAAAAAATACTGCTTCGAAGTTCCATCCTACAAAGCCAGGAAGGACTCTCTTTTTAAATAACCCAGGACGATATATCTTTGGATAACCTAGGAAGGGGCATCATATATGAATGCTAGTGTTTTAAGTCTTTGAAAGAACTTCCTGAGAGACATGTATGTTATTTAGTATGTTCAGTGACTGTGGCTTTGGACCACCTAAGATAACATTTCCATAAAGCACCATATACTTCATTGAAAGAAGCTCTCATAGATGAATACAAGTTCTGTAAAACATCCTCAGAAAACTCAACCTTTGAGTCTTCATGTGGTTAACCTGAATGACTCTGGATAAAGATGAGGCATAAGCTCCAGCTACAGAACATCTTTGCTTACTAGCATGTTCCAAAGAGTGGCACTGAAATTTTCATCATATCCGCAAACTAAGGCCTTTTGGATTAGTGTGGACAAGACGATGTACACTTTCAGCAACAACAAAGCAAAAACAAAGTACAAATAAAAACAAAAGTATTATGGTCCTTGAAACTAACACAGTATTTAGCTGAGCTTTTGTAGGTTGCAATTCACTTTCTAGCAGGTTGAGGGATTGAGTTCCCACTCTGCCTCCTTGAAAGATGTCCCACTGAGCTAATCCACCAATCTATTGGTAGCTATGACAAGATGTTCTACTATATAAGTGACAACAGCAGATGATGAGTGGTATAATAGCTTCCAAAACAGTAAGTTCAGCAGGTCATGGTAGAATGCCATCATCTCCCTAAATACTGAGCCAGTCATTTGTCTGATGCACTGGGACTTATGGATAATCTCTGCCAATCTCAAAATTTAATTCACCTCTTCTCTGATAGACAACTGGCTATATAACTGTGTATGCATTGCAGCCCCATAAAGATAGATGCTATTGCTGCTACCTCTGCTGGAACAGTTTCAACCAGCCACCAGCATTTGGAAGCTCCTCAGCACTGCCTCTTGTCTGACCTCCTTATGCAAGAAGGCAGTTAGAATGAATATCACTGAGCAGGAGGTGATTTGCCAATGTGGTCTTCATAGGCTGAGTGAATAAACAAACCATACAATTTACCCTTCCAGAGGTGGGGTGGGGCCTCAGCCAAGATAAAACCACCACTGTAGATCTGTGTGCCTGTTCCTCATAAAACAGCTGGCAAGATGAGAACAGTTAACACACATTATCCTTTTTGTATTTTCATCTTATGCTGTCAGGAATTTAGAAACGTTTTCCTTGATTTAACTGCAGTTTTTACATATTCTGTAGAAAGATCTACCCGTATCACTCATGCGAGCCAGGAGGTGAGGCTGAGGAGCCTAATGCCGAGGGAGGCCCGGAAGGAAAAGACAAGAAATTGCGCCTTCTCGGCGGTGGCTCCTCGCCTCTGGAACAACTTACCTCCTGAGATTCGCGTGGCCCCCTCGCTGGGTATCTTTAAGAATCAATTAAAAACATGGCTGTTTAGGCAGGCCTTTCCATCAGATAATTCCTGACCCTCCTGACGCCCTTTCCCTCTCTTATCGTTCCTTTCACTTTGTGTAATGTTTATATATTAATTTTACTGTAGTAGTATTTTTGTTGTTAGCGGCCTAGAGTGGTCCTGACCCAACCAGATAGGCGGGATATAAATAAATTTTTTTAAAAAACAAAAACAAATTATAGTTAATAGTAATTATAGTTAGGCAAAACCTAGCCAAAATCTAATGAACTTTAGCGAGTGGTTTCAAAAACTGGCTTGTTGAAACTAACCATAGTTTGCTAGACACAGAGAGCTGAAAGTGAAAGATTCTGAACTACTTCTCTCAACATTGGGGTAAGACAGGGAAGCTCCAGTGGGTCTATTTGAATCAGAGCACATCAAACTGAACTACTGTACTTATTCCCAAACTTCAAATCC